CGGGCGGCCAGATATTGCGCCGTGACATCTGCGAGCAATTACCGGTTGACTGTTTGAATAACCGTGCCAAGTGATTAATCGCTCCTGGGTGGGATGGAAGCGGAGAGATGTAGTGTCATCTGTGAGCACCGGTGGGAAATCTCGAGACTTTATGCGACTCGAGGGAGACTATCCCGATGTGGATGGAGGCTCTCGTTTTTTCTTCTTCTTTCTTTTGAATGCGCAGCTTCACTCGTGTTCGGTTTAGGTTCAAGCAGTCTGGTAGAACTGCGCGATGAATCTAAACCAAATAGCGGATGTTAAGGCTACACGATCGCAGCGGCCCTCGGCCCACGAGGCTAACCCTGGGCACCGGGGAAGCCGATGAGGCGGCCATGTGGAAAGAGTCAAATGGGCAATCATTAATTGGATGGGACTTTGTTGGCGGTCGTGATGCTCAGACGAAGACGGAACAAATTACAGACAGTGTTGGTTTGTCGTGCTCGGTGACTCATAGACCATTGTCTGGCTGGTGGTTCTTTCCGCATTCAGTGTTTGTTTATTAGGAAAGAGTGTGTGCACATGTGAGCACATGCGTGTGTGTGCCTGCATGTATCATTACCAAAAAAATGTCCCATTTAAATCAAAGACTTTCTTTTTTTAAAATCTAACCACATGAGAGCTTATAAAGATTCATTAAAATAAACATTTTTGAGAATATAGGCTGTTCTAGTTGTTCAACAGATAATACAGCTATGTTTGACAGGCCTATGTTTGTCCAATGCTGGGTGAAGGCCTCCCTACGGTGCTGTGTAGGTGTTGGAGATTGTTTGGCCATACTTCACCACACTGGCCCGTGTGGGTTGGTGACGAGGGAGGCCTACGACTAGTTCAGCTATCACTCGCCACTGTTGCTAGCCATGGTCTGGATTTGAACTCAGGACACCGGGTTCATAACACATTGTGCGAACCACAGTGCTATCCTGCCACCTCTGTAGTTGTTTAGGTAAAACGTTTTTCTTTAGAAATGTAAATATACAATTTTAACTGGTGTAATAGTATTGATAATGATACCAGCAGACACTGGCACGTTGTTGTGAGCGATGTTATTGGGTCCACTTTACAGCAGATGGCCCTATTTGGCAATTTCAAAACGGAGATTACCCGACGCAAACTTGAGTTAACTCTTCAGCTCCGTACACACATTTCGAGATGCGTTTTGTCGCTTACAAACCCGCTCAGTGGTGAACACGATGAGTGCTCGGAAAACCCAGCCGCCCATCCACCCACCCAATGACAGGACGTAAATATCACACCCTCTGTAATAGAGGTACGCATTGGGAAGCGTCCAGCGGGTTCTTTGTCGTCCCTGCGTTGGTCTCCCCTCTCGACCTCGCGGCTTGGCCATCCACCGTGGCGTGTGTGCGCGCCTGTGTCCTGCAGTGGCGGTAGTGCGCTACGCTGCGCTACTACGAACCCGTTCAACCGAGTTCGATTCCCGCTCACGGCCACCAACACGAGTGACCATTATCTGAACCGGTCCTGGGCCTCCCCTAGGTCGACTCAGCCTCAAATTACTACCTGGTGCGGCGTGTTAAACATCACCACGAGGGAGACAAAGGCGATGGTGCTGGCCGCCCACCCCCTTGTGCGCCGTGCCGGCCTTCATAGGTGCTCACGAGTAGCACTTGCTCCAACGGTCTGTTAAGGCTATACGGGGGATCTCTGTCTTTGTTTGGAGAGGGATGGAGGTGTGCGCTGCTGCAGTGGTAAATCTCCTATGATGGACCAACCAAGGCGAAACATTATACTGTACTGTGAAAGAAATAATAATGATGCAGATTGTATCAGCAGGGCCCCTTGGCTTTATCTTACTGAAAAGCACTTAAACATTTGTGGGAAGAAACAAAAGGGAGAGACAATGGAGGTAACTAAATATTAAACAAATGAATGATGTGTGTGTAAAAAGGTCATTATTTGCAGTTCATTCTTCGACTAGGCCACATTAAACAGGGAGTCATGTCAATGTGCACGGCTGTTTGCCAACCTCCTTGCTCTGCTTAATCACTTAAATATGAGGGATGCACAGTCACTGCCATAAACCATTTCTGAAAAGGCCTCAGCTATTTAAAACCGGGTTCTTTCATTCCCTCCTCCACACCTCCCTTATTTTCTCAATTTTTTTCTTTTTTCTTGGGGCCACACAGAAGAACACGCTGGCCCGGGGTTCTGGAAGTATTTCAAAATAACTCTTGTTCACAGAATGTTAGTTGCAGGGGAAGAAATGTTGGGCAAAGATGGCCATGTTTAGATGGTGGTAATTGAAGCAATTGGCGGGACCCCGGGGTCCCATCACTGCCCCGGGGTGGGAAAAACCACGTAGCGACACGAGTCTTGCTGCCTTACCGACAACAAAACTAGTGTCAATCGATTGGCCTCGTCGAGAGCTACTCGGGGCACTAAGTTTCGTAGAAAGTTGAAAAATTACATAAACACGTTAAATTCACTGCCTGGGGGGGCGGCGGGCTCGCCTTGGCAAAGAAGCTGAGGATCGACGGCTGACCGGACGGCGTCGTCGCCGCGCGCGACTGCGGCGGACGCCCCCCGGGGCTCGCGTTTGGCCGATGGGGTGGCGCCCATCGTGTCGATCGCTGCCTGCTGCTGCTGGCGCTTGTTGGTGCGAGTCTGGGCGGGCGGCGCGTTGCTGTCGGGATCACGTAGTGGGGCGGACTGAAAAATAATAATAATTATTGACCCGATTTTTGCGGGACCCCGGGGTCCCGCCAAATGATTCAATTCTCCTCGGAGCCACTGAGCTTCCATTGCCACTGATGGGCACGGTGCCTACATTCAAGCAACCCGAATCAGGACTCTGCAATGCTTACCCCTCGACACTCCCGCACCAGCCAAACCTAAAGGGCAAAAGAGTGCAAAATAAAATAAAAGTCGTGCTATAAAAGTAAGACATTTATTGGTGACTTTAGGCCGCGGCAAGCCAGGTAACTGATGTGGCCTGCTTTGGCTTGGAGGAAAATCACTTGGCCACATCAGGCATGAGTCTTGTTTCCTCAGCTTGCTCACACTTTGGGGAGGAAAAGTCAGTCCGTGAGAGTTTTTTTTTTTCATGGATGACATGTGGGCCCGTCTGCATGGAAGCCCTTGAGTGTTTGCGTTCAGGCGCAATCTGTGTCTGAGTATGCGCGCGCGTGAGCTCGCGCGCCACCGGGCTCTGATAGTTTTATCATGTGAGCCACCGCCTTTCGCTGTAATTGAATACAATTATTGAGGTAATAGCTCTGGCAGCGAATCATGCCAACGCGACGTGTAAACATTACGCCATACGGAGGTTTTTTTTTTTGCGTAAGTGTAGCACCAGACGTTCTTGTGAAACATAACTTTTTTTTTATTTTAAATAAGGCAATCAAGTTATATTTAGAAGGGTAAAATAAAATGAAAACTATGAATCGATGCCATGGAAATTATTGCTCCATAAAGTCGTCGACGGAATTTGGAGCTGATTCTGAAGCATGTGTTGCCCGCGGGCGATGGAGGTGGGGTGGTGTTGTGGGCCACCAGGGGATGGGCGATGTGTGGTGGTGTTCTTGGCCACCTGGGGGTGGGCGATGTCGCGTGGCAGTGTTGGAGGCCGCCTGGGGCAGGCCAACGTGGTGTGGTTGTGTTGCGTGTCGGCTGGGGGGTGAGAGACACAGATGAAGGATTTCACTCGGATTTGGGGAGCACTCTCATTGGTGGAAAAGACGCTGCGATGTTTGCAGCGGAGGAGGCAGGGTTGCACCTCCGTCTCTGAGGAAATCGCCGGGCCTTGAGCTGTCTCAGGCTTCATATCGCGCATCCCTCGGAGCCATGCCCGTATTTTTGCACGCGGTGCTTTTATTAAGGCATATTGTAAGCATCCATCAGTCGGGATACTTACAATTTTATCAGGGAGTTCTGGTTTCCACTGTGTGCTCTCAAAAAGTTGAGAATTTGCAGGCTTTCCGCTGTCTCCCAGGCCTGGATTAGCGCTAACAAGTTTAAAAACTGCATAACAGAGGCCCTACGTTCGTCGTCATACCAAATTCCCGAGTGACTAACAACGGAGTTATTTTAAAACTCTACGAGATACGTAATTAAAGCTATGTGCGCGGAATCTCAACTGGATAATTGAACACCTTTATTGGACGTAAAAAAAATCCGCTTCCCCCGTGGGGTCTTGCGTTATATTACTTGATTTGAGGAATGGGTTGAGAATGAATCACGCGTCAATTATCTGTTCAGGCTTCAGACTGAGTTGTAAGAACATGTCTGGGAGAGCCTTCACTTTTGATAGTTTTAGTTCTGCACGTTAAGATATGACGAGTCGTCAAAAAGGTTTGACGCATTATTAATCAAAGATGGAAGTTTGCACAGCTTCATTCACGCCGTTATCGTAAGGACGTCATTGCACTTATTACGTAACTTTGTAAGTTTAGTACAAATGTATATATTAAAACTAGGGGTTGTTCGGGGTCACCTGTGGCGCCCCTCAACCATTTACGGCCTTCGGCCAGGAAAGTCACTAAAAATATTGCACACGAACGATGCATTGAATTGTATTATGTTTTGAATTAGATAATTTTATTTCTTCATTAAAAAGGACATTTTGTGTGAATTTTCTCTCGTCGTTAAGTAGATGGCCTTGCTGGGGGTTTGGTTCGATGCGGACTTTCACCTGTTTGGGATTGCGGGATTGAGATAAGGCGACATAGAGATGGCCGTGCGAAAAGACCGCCGTCTGCAAATCGATTCCAACGTAATCGACCGTCTGTCCCTGCGCCTCCGTCGTTCATGCAGAGTGCGCGTAGGTTTACAGCGACCCCTGCATGACAACGACGGAAAGTGATAGCGTTCATCACAGATAGATAAAGTTGTGCGCTTATATAAGAGTGTTACAGTTGTCCCTCACTATAACGCGGTTCACCTTTCGCGGCCTCGCTGTTTCGCGGATTTTTTTTAGTGTTATTTTGCATGCTTTTTTTTCCTGCGTACAGTATGAACGCGCATTGTGTTCGGCGTCCTGATTGGCTAAGGGAGAACCGCACATGTGTTCTGCGTCCTGATTAGCTAAGGGAGTACAGAATGCGTTCGGCTAGCCAGATTTACAAAAATGTTTGGACTTGAAAAGAGGTTTTGATCTTTGGTTTAATTTACTAATATTGTACTTATTTTTTTAAATCTGCGAAAGTTTGAACTTTGAGAGTGTTTAAATTAGAGAGAAATGTGATAAAATGTTAATGCCTGTCTGAGAAAAGTGTATAAAAGTGTGTGGTTAGGGGTTTTACGGCCTTAAAACATGTATAATAATTGTAAAAAATAAAGCTGATTACTTCGCGGATTTCGTCTATTGCGGGTTATTTTTAGAACGTATCCCCCGCGATAAACGAGGGACCACTGTATACATATATGACGCTGTTGCAAATCGTTTGGAGGTTTTATTCTAAAATCATTTTTTGCTGTCGCTCATAAGTATAAGCATGTGAGGCTTCGGGGTTATATTGTGTGCTCACGTGCTTTTATGTGATTCCAGTATCATGTGTGTGTATGCATGCATGCAGAGTGTGCGTCCATTGGTATGCAGAATTAAAAAAATCTAAATAAATATACACTACTGCACATTGTAAGGCCCAATAATTACTCAAATAATTAAGTGATTGCGATATCGTTCCCCCCCCCCCCCCCCGCTAAATAATATCAACAAGCATACATTGTAAGTGGTATTGGCCAAAAAAAACTTCCCGGTACTGAAGCATTTCCTGCAAATTATTAAATTGGCATTATACATACTGTAGCGAGGTCGCACCCCCCCCCCCTTACTGCAAAAACTTGGCAGGACCCTCCTGAAAAATAGTCTTGAGACTCAGTGAGGTTTTCCTGGGTAAACAAGCATTATAATAATATGTAAAAAATTACGTTGAGGAAAAGTACTTTATATAAAAATAAAACACGTTAATTAGCATTGCCTTACAACAGAAAAATGCATAGCCCCTCTGAAGTTTAAAGAAATAGTTTTTCTTCAGAGCAGAGGGATAGAGCAGAGGGTTATGAACTGAATTATAGTTTGGGATTGCATTTTACTCTGTGGGGCCCAGAGAAAACTGGCATATGTTACGTAAGTTGATATATGAACCGTGTTTAATTGACACGTGAGCAGCTATACATCAGTAGACATTGCATATCACGTGTCACTCGGATAAACCTGAGACACGCGTGCTTTCCCTGGACAGTGGCAATGCAAAAAAAAACAAATTCTGATGTTTTTATTTCTTGCCCATGCCCGTGCCCCCAGTGCTGCGCGACGACTTCCGGCAGCAGCCGGCCGACGTGGTGGCGGCGGCGGGGGAGGCGGCGATGCTGGAGTGCGTGCCGCCGCGCGGCCACCCCGAGCCCACCGTCTCGTGGAAGAAGGACGGTGTGATTCTACGCGGTGGAAACGACGCCGTCAGGGTGAGTGAGCGGTCGCCCTCTTCGCCTGGGAGGGGGCGGTATAGAGGGGAGGGGTGGGGGGGGGAGTTGAAGGGGGGGGGGGGCAGGCGGTTCCACGATTTCGGACGCACTTTGTGGACGCTTTCAGACATTGGTGGAATTCAAATGCGGTCTTGAACTGAACTTCTGAACTAATGAACTTCTTTCGCACGGTACGTAGCCAACCCTGTTAATCAGAGGTGGTGGGGGGGGGGGTGTGAGGACACGTTGAGTATTTCTTTCAGCATTACTGCAGGGTACCTTCAACTCCTGAAGATGCTCGCAGTAGGAACACCATGGTAATTGCGCTCACTACATTCTTCTCTCATTTATTCGTGGGGCGGTTGCCGACTCGCTCCGACTCCGCACTCACGAACCCTGCCGTCCTGCGCCAGGCACCCAGGCAACTTTTATTTATGATTAGTGATTTAATTATTATGCTGGGTACCATGGAAAATTATGCTCGGTCAGCAGTTCGCTCTGTTACACCTAAACATCACGCGAGCTCCGGTCAGCCATTAAACAAAGACGGTCACCACATCGCACGATTTCAGGAGCACTTCTCCGGCTGTCTGGAATGCTCTTCCTTCCGACATTAGGAAGCCACTGCAGCTACTTTTGTATCTAGATTGAAAAAAAGTTCTTAAGAACTGCTTTTTATGTTTAGCTTTTTGTACATTCCCCCACACCTCGGATTAGCACGGTCGGTTACGTATGGTGCGAAAGAAGTTCAACATACATACAGTGCGTGCAAGTTGTGCGATTATGCGAAAACAGAATTGCAAGGGCGATGCAGGCAGATTAGGCGCATCAAGGAAATAGGCACCTCTATGTATTGCACCAATCAGTTGTGTAACAACACTTAGCGCCTGCGAAAGCCCATATCTGTGACTTGCGTTAAACTCAGTGATTATCAGGTGCTGTCTGTGCCTCCTGCTGTATTTCCAGTGCAACCGAAAAGTGACCTGATATGTAATTTGTGAACGTTGGCAGAATTTGACTCCATCATCAACACACTGCCTTATGACTGGGAAAATACATATACAGTATTAACGTGGCGAATGTTTCCAATTTTCCTATGTTTTTTATACTTGTAAAAAGTTTGCAGTGGTCTTCATGTCAACAGTGTGGCAAATCGCCAAGGTGATGTGTATTGGTCGTTTTGTCAACTTGCAAGTCTAACCCCTGCTGTTAATACATTATAAGATATTAATCTGGCCCCTGGTGTAATGTATTATACAAAAAAAAACAATGGGTTGAGCCTGTGGTTCTCCAGAGTAGAACATTTGTCTGAAAAATATTCGTCTATTATGTACAGTACACGACTGTATATTATGTCTGTCTGGGTGGCACAGCGGTGGAGTTTGTGGCTTCCTTTCAGAAGGTTGAAAGTTCAATCCTGCTGCAGTAGATACATTGAGTACTGCTCTGTGAGAAGTCAACAGTGATCGTCTAATGAAAATACTCGCTCCTGCCATATGCCTGTAGAATTTCCACCACAGGCTAAGGGCTGCACCATGTTCACTCAAGGAGGGAAACCACATCGACATTGATTGAGTGTATAATTTAGAACACAATACTTTAGACATTGATTATACCATTGGTATATTGCTGTCAGCTCGGGGAGGTGTTCTTCCAGCTGTGGACAGATCAAGGCTAATGTTAATAATGATGGTGGTGTGTATATTTCTATTAAAGTGTCAGTGCTTGTTCAAGTTGATGGTGGAAAAGTATTTCAGTAATAAACTGTGCACGACCGCCAGCAGTGGATAGGTTAAATCTGCTGCTGCTGCTGATGATGTGTATATTTCTGTTAAACTAAACGAACAAAACTAAAATAAACTTATTTTATTTCACCAAGTAAGGCCCACTGAGCTATATAGCTCTTCTATTAGAACCGACCTGGCCAAATAATGATCGCTCAACGAAGTGGCTTACCATGTGGAAATTTTACCACGTGGCTTACCATGTGGAAATTAAAGAACAGTACTTGCCAAGGCAGGTGGTGGAAAAGCATTTGTCAGCCGTTGTTTCTTCATTGCTGCTGTTTGATTCGTGCTAAAAGCAAGGTTACAAAAAAAATGAAAGTGAGAATTTTGCAAGGTGATAACATTTTTCTGAAGTAATGTATTCACGAGTTTCTTGGTTAACATTGAGGTTCACGCGTAAAAACATAATAATTTTTTACGTTTTTCTTTTTTCAAAGGTCACTTAAAAAAAAGGATACACGAGACAATAACGATTTGAAAGCCAAATTGATGAATTAACAATGAAATGCATTTGTGGTCACTGTGCTAATTTAGATTTGATTTTAGTTTGCATATTTCACTGCTGCGTTATTTGTATGATAGTGCGTCCGTGTGTTGTGCGAGCTCTGTAAACCAGCTGTGTGGGGCTTGAACCTGTCGGCTTAAGAATGCGCGCAAGTTTAACACATTTGGATCTGTGCCAGACCCTCCAATGGTACCGATGTCCTAGGTTAAAATTCTCAGCTCTTATTCTTAGCCATGATTTATCCACTGCTGGGTGTAGGCCCTCCTAAGCCACGGTTTTGTGTTCAGTGACCTAATCGAACCTCAGCCCCAGTCACCGATGACTGCAAACAAAATTGTAGAAATTCGGTTTTGGATTTCATGAACCCCATCTCATCTCAAGAAATTGTACGACCAAACGTAATATGCACTAGAATGCGTTAGACAGGGTGAACCACTCCCCTGTATGGGCGTGCCGAGTGCTGTAAAGTGGTTGGTGCAAGATAGGCCCCCTTGAAGGATATCATTAAAATACAAAAACCCTGCAATATTATAGCTTGTAATTCCAGAACGAGACGCATTGGCTTTGCACTGGCGGTCCTAGAGTACAGCAAGCACACATTCTCCTTGGTTGCTGAATACCGACCGCTTGATTGGGCTATAATTGGTGAACACAAAAAAATAAACAAAAGAGAATGCGTGCGAGAGAGAGAGAGCGCGAGGCGTGGGGGCAGAGTGGCGGGCATTCCCAGGCGTGCGCTGGTCCTGATGAGCCGCTGACGGATGAAAGTTTAACCCCTGCAACATCCACGCCATCCGTGCAATCCAGAGCCGGGAGTAAATTTAGATTTCGGCAAACAAGTGCGTTGAGACGGGCTGCATTTCTGGGAAAAAGGCGGGTCCAGAGTGCGAGCACCTTGGTTCCGGCTAGGGTTTGCTCGAAACAAGTTTTGAGCACTCAGATTGGTTTTGGACTTTGTGCGAAACGCTCGTGATGTTCGTGTCAACGAGAAGCAAGTTTTTTGAAATAGCTGTTTTCACACCCGTCTTGCCTGTCAATTTCCCCACTCAACTTTCTGCTCCCTCGTGGGGGCGTTGAGGGCCGGCGTTGCTGGGGGTTCGAGGGTGGCGAGCGACCTGGGAGGGTAGGCTGGGGTTGGGGGGTGGGGAATTGTTGGGGGGGGGGGGTTTGTTGACCACCGTAGCAGCAGCAACAGCAGCAGCAGAGGTAGTGGAGTAAATGGTTCCTTTCTTTTTCGACCCTCTTTACATCATGCGTGGACAGAAATGTGCAGCGCGATGGGAAAAACACGCATTTGATGTGAGGCCCCCCGACGCGAAGTTGCCTCGTCTCGTGTTCCTTCAGGCGTGTCGTGCGCAACAGGTGGCAGCACGGAGGGTTTGGGGGGCGGTGTGCGAACGTCTGTGTCCCGATAGGGGTGGGGGGGGGGGTCGTCTCCAAAAAATAGCAGTCGCCTCCAAGACGCGACCTGTCAGTCGTGGCCGGGGTGGACGTGGATGGGGGGGAGCAGGGGGCCGGGGGGTAGCGCACGTGGAGCGGTGGGGGAGAGGTGGGGACAGAGTGGGTAGACCTGTGCTGCCCCCACCTCCCCTCAACCCAGCGACTCCCCACAAAAGTGCTGATTAAAGCATTAGGACGTGATTGCTGTGCCCCTGGTGATGACCCATTTCTCAATTCTTAAACATCCTTTTTTTGTAGCGAAACCCTCCCGTAGCTGTAAATTACACTCTTTGAAAAATGTGCGCTTTGCTTCACAGATATAATTCCTGAGCTGTGGGATGAGAAATGTTAGCTGTGGTTACAAAAAAAATGATTCCTGGTGTGCTTTCTTCTGTCTGTGCTCTGATGCACGTAGCGGCTGTGAGGTGACATAATGCATTCTGGCTGTTTTCATTTCTCCGCCGCAGTAATTGACGTGATTAGATGTCCAGTCTGGCATCTCTCTCCGTCTCTCCACTCTGTCCGCATTTCTATTTTTTTGTTCTCGTTCCTCACCATCTCTTCTCCCCGTCTGCCTCCGTCTGCCTCCGTCTCTCTCTCTCTCGAACACGGTTCATTAGCGGCTAATGCACGAGCCTGCCATTGTACCGTACTTCTGGGTGCAATTTACAACATCGATGCGAATGGGAAATGACATCGCTGGTGTCGCGATAATTTCAAGGGGCTCTTTATCAAACCACCAAAACACCCGTGATTGCTCCGAACACCCACCTCGATGTCGTGGCATACGCTATCGAGATCCTGCGCTTGCCCGTTCTCCTGCACGTGCTCGGGTTTCTTTTTCGTCGCCGGCGTTTTGGCTCCTGAATGTCCAACCGCGTAGACGACAGCCGCGTGTGCACGTAACACGCTCTCAAGACAGATCAAGAAATGAGACCCGCGGGGGGAAGGCAAGGGCGGCGGTAATCAGCCTCATTGTCTGCCAGTGTATGAACTCCGTGCCAGGCGCTTCCCGTGCCAAGAAAGCAACTTCAGATGCTGCTGTGGATAAATGCTTTATTTATGCGCTGGGAATTGACGTAGAAGCATATTTTCGAGGTTTGTGTTGTGGCAGGATTTGACCCAAATAGGTTACTTTGTTCGGGGACACGCATTTGACACACGAGGCTTGGCTCTTTGTTGCCAAGTTTTTGTAACGTACACTGATCGCGGTACATTGTGTGCCCTCCATCCAGTCATTCTTGAACACTCTATAAATTCGGTAGAAAAAAGCACACACGCACATATCCTTGAATTCCCACAAGCATTGTTGGCCTTTAACCTCACGCTGAGTTGATATGATTGGATATGAATGTGACTCTGCAATAATTAAAATTGGTCACTTTACGGTACACAACAGAGAGAGCACTCAGGAAATAAGTTTATACGGATCCTGTCCTTGCGCAGCGTGTGTGGGTAGAGGCTGGCCGTGGTCCATTAGAGTGTGTGCGTACATGTGTGTGTTTGTGTGTGCGGATCGGTGTTATAGCGTCACGTGGGCTGGCTGTACTAGAATCAAAGGCACCGCTAACCGGACATTTGATTCCTCACCATGGTGCATATCACCATTTACAATTAGAATATGAAATTGGCATGGGTTTTCAGTGGATCAACCGAGTGATGCTGTGGTGTTGATGTGGAACAGTACTGGGGAAGCAAACTTTTCGTGCCAAATGTGTGTGCTTTCCACAACAACAGCTCACCATATACTTCTCTGCCATTGCTGTATGTATATCAACAGCACCTTCCAAAATAATATGGATAGACAGGGATGTGTATGTAAGGCATGCCCCAACTTACAAACACCGTCTTACGAACACCCGACTTACGAACACCCGCACTTACGAACAAGCTTCCATGAAATATATATATATATATTTTTAACATCGACTTAAAACGCGAACTCGCAAACTGATTCGCGGAACTATTTTGTCCAGCGGAGCGATCCTCCGCGAGATGGGATGAGTCAGCCTCTTGCTTGCGTGAGATGTTGTCCGCTGGGCCACTACACCTTGATGTCGTATGCCACGACATCAAGGTGTAGCTTTTTGCCCGTGCCCGCCGTCGCTACTTTGAGCTCATGGCGCGCGACGCAAAACCTTTGAACTTCTGGCCGCTCGGGTTTCCGCCTGCGAGTTTACGCCACGGCTACCCCCTGGTCGAGCAAAACCTCGCTCACATTTGGCGGGCGTCGCATTAGCCACGTACCTGCCAGTTTAGGTTTCACGTCCTGTCAAGTACGGTAGCAAATATATTAGGCTGCGTAAACACGTGCCGCCAAGTCGCATGCATTGTACGAAAAATCCTTTCGCCCGGCGAGGAATTCAAAAACAAAAGTGGCACTGATCCACGGTCAATGGACGGAGTGCGCCGTGGGTGTTTGCCGGGTTGCCATGAAGAATTTTAATTCAAAGTTGTAGAATTTATACAAATACTTTCTTGACAGAGAAAGAGGGGACAGAAAAATTGCATTGAAATGCGAGTTTAAAAAAAACATGGCATTTTTTTTAAGCAGGATAAATGTATTGCTTCCTCCTAACTCATACAAATAAATGTGATTGAAAGTAGGAGCTGTAAGTAGACACACTTCGTCAGCTCTTAGCGAAATCATGAACGGAAGCATTTTCTGAAATGGAAAATGCGTTGATTATTCTAAAAAAGACATTTATATTTCTAAATTCGATAAACCAAGCCCATCTTTTGGATGGAAATCGCCATTGAATTTCCGCGACATCAACACGTCTACTAGCTGAAGTAGCAGCCTCTCTGTACCGTATAAAAAAAAAACACTTTTGGAGGGGGGAGAAAACACTCATTACATTACAATCACAGTTTGCATTGCGAGAGAGCGAGAGGGAGAGAGAACTTTCCCTCCCCTAAATTCTTTACCGAAATGCAGCTGTTGACTCTTGCGTCGAGTAACCCCTCCGCCGCCCGCCCGGCCCGGCCCTCTCCTCGACCGCTCAGCCTCCCACGTGTTCGTGAGAGCCTCCCACAATAAGCGGGCGACACTCGGCAAAGAGAAGTTCGGAGTCCTTAAAGCAGCTTTACCTACAGTGTCTCCCACCCCCAGCCACCCAATGGAAGCTTTTCAAATGTGGATGAATGCAGGGGGCATTCAGGGCCCCTGATGAGAGGGAGGGCCCCTGATGTTTTGTTCGCTCGTCAAAAGTCCTCCGCGAGTGAAAGAAAAAACTGGCGGCTGTGTTACAACACGGGAGTACGCTGCAAGTTGCGTGGGCGAACGTGTAAATATTAGATTTACGTGACACCCCCCCCCCATTGCACGCCATACATTCATCTTCCCCCCCCGCCCCCCAAGAAGGCGTTGGGCAGATTTTTCAGTGTCTGTGTCTACCAGATGAATCCTTAATAGGTGGCCTCGCGTGCTGAGTGATTGTACATTCTTTTCCCCGTAAAGTACAGTAAATAACGAAAAAATCTCAACTTCCATAAAGCAAAACGTTACAATTCAAGTATGGCTTTTAACTTAACTTTTAAATTAGCTGAGGTTTTTCATCTTCTTCTTCTTCTTTCCCTCCAGACAATTGATTGCCATCAACTGCACTATTGTGGCTTGTGTGCGTGTTTAACTGTGTGTGTGTGTGCATGCATGCGTGTGAAAGCTGTGCGTGCGTCTACGACTGCGCTTGTGTGTGTTTGCCAGCATGTGAATGTGTGTCTGTGCCTGTACGTGACATCGTGCGTGCATGCATGCGTGCGCATGTATGTGTTTGTGCGTGTGCGCACGAGTGCTAACGTGTGCCTGTGCACGCGTGTGATCCGAATGCCTTCAGATCGCTTCTCGATGGCATTGATGCTGGATTTAAAAGTGGTGCTAAAAAAAGGATCCGTGGTTATAAATGGCCGTGGGCCAGACTCTACAGAGACTGCATTGTAGGGGATTTCCGGGCCTGGGAATGCTAAGCACAGTAGTTTGTCTTTCTATAAAAATGTTCTCGCTCACTGACATAAGGAACTCAACAACATTTGCCTTTGGCGAGTGTGCTCAGAAAACGCCAAGGTCCCGTCCGTCGTCCTTTACCGACACGAACGTAAAGGGCTTTTCAATCATTGGGCCCTTCTTTCTGTTGGGTGGACAGGCTAATTTGAGATGTATCATGCTTGCATGTGAGTTCACGGTTCACCGGTTTGTATCCAAACCATTCCTCGATGTTTCGCGATGCGTAAAGCACCGTGGAGCGTGCTGTCTCTCGAGAAAAAAAAACAACACGCGGGCGTTTTGGACGGGTTTTTTTCTACTCTCTCTTCCTCCCCTTCCCTCCTCGCGCTCGGTAATGGACGCCGAAGACACCCGCGCAATGCTTCGTTGAAGTTAGGCCCATTGTGCGCCAGGTCATGACCAAACAACCGAGCGCTTATGGGAATGCATGCACCTCCCAGACAAGTCGAGTCTCGTTGGGAACAGGCTTCGGTCGGCCCGATGGTAACAGCCCACGCTGCGCGGTTCAGCAGAGCGGGGCACGGCTTCCTTGCGAACGCGTCGTGATGAGTCGCACGCCTCGCAGACCCTCGCCGCGCGATGGCGTTCAAGCGAGCGCCGCCGATGAAAAACGCTCTGCCGCGACTGCGGCTCTGGGCGCACAACTCGGCGAGGTGTTAATTACCTCGCCTGGTATGCAGGAGGTCGTGGGTTCGATCCCGACCCTGACGCCTGCTGCTGTATATTTGGAATTTACTTGTTGTCTCTCGGTGTGGTCGCGTGGATTTTTCTCTGGGGCCCTCCAGTTTTTTTCCCTCCGCATTTAGAAACAACATGCCGTTTGGAATATTTGGCCGCAATACATTTCAACGCAAAGAGCCACTTCTTTGAACTATCATTGGTGATAGCCAGGTCGCTTCTAAAAAATAACTATACAGCTCAGTGGGCGTTATCTGGTAAAATTGTTCATAGCTTAGCGGAACAAGCTTCCACAGGCGTCACTTCCACCCAACTTCGACTGATGGAGCCCGACAGATCTCGCGTGAATCAGTTGGCGGCTCCTCTTCCCCTTTGCCCGAAACGGCACGAGGGGACCGGCGTTTCATTTCCAGGCCAGGTGGTTATTAATCCTCGGCGACGGCGCACTTCCCGCGGCGTTCGCCCCCCGGAACGGCTGCGGCGAGCGGGCCGCCCCCGTACAGCGAGGGCTCTGATTGCGAGTGAAAAATAACACAGCTGCGGATCAAAACTCTGGCGGCTGCGTGACGACGCGCACGGGCGCGCGAGTTCGTGAGTGAGAGATTGATCACGAGTGCTAAAGCGAGAGGCGTAGCCCTGCAATTGCTTGCTCACATCACTGCTGGTGGAAGGGCCTCCACTCGAGGGAGCTCTAGAGAGTCCCCTCCAGAGGGTATTTTAGCCTACTCTTTCACATTGGTCAGTATAAATAGCAAAGATTTTGATTCTTACCCTTGCACAGCCACCTGCCCCGATCACCTAACTGTGGTAAGGGCACTGCGGTGGCGAGATGTTCACTACCTCGCCTGGTATACAGGAGGTCGTGGGTTTTACCCTGACCCTGACGCTTGTATATTTGGAGTTTGCATGTCCTCGCTGTGGTCACGTGGATATTTCTCCGGGCCCTCTGGTTTTTCCCTCCACATTTAGAAACGTGTTTAAGCTGCTATAATTTCCCACACGATAAAGCCACTTTGTTGAGCTATCGTTTGTGGCCAGGTCGCTTCTGAAAAAAACCTATAGCTCATTGGGCCTTAACCTGGTAAAATAAAAATAGCTTAGTTTTTTTTTTTAGTTTTGTACCCATTCATACTGCTGGGTTAGGTGGGGAGATTTAAGACACTTTGACAATTGTTTCAACTGCCGTGCCGGGAGATCAAACCAGAGACCTCCGAATTGCAATCCAGTGTGCCAACCATTTACACCATGGCAGCATCCCTGGACTCGTGAAAAATCTCGAGAGCAGTGGCCGTGCGACAGTGGCTTGGAAAGTAACAGACGGATACTCGGCTGTTGGCGGTGACAAAGATTAATGAGCAACTTTGTCTTGATTTTTCCTAATTGGTGGAAATCCAAGCGAGCCATTTTGCGTGGCACAAAGCGTCCCCTTATGTGTCCCTTTGGTTTGTAACCGACTCTACGAGCCTAGCCTGGAGACATCCCCTTTTTCTCCCACATCATTCCTGTAAACCCTGACCCCTGTAAGTGGAGAGGTCGGCAGTTACAGAGGCAGCGACTCGTACGAGCCTACGAATTCACCGCCACACCTTATAAGCGAACTGAACCGAATCCATTTTTCGAGCTTCGCCAAGCGGAGGAAAAAGCCCGAGAGGCAGTGCTCGGTTCATTACAAGCACGTAAAAAAAGGTTACATGTTTTTTTTTCTTTCGCGAGAGGGGCACAGCTTACTGACTTTATGAACAGTGCATCGTTTCGCCCGGTACATGATCGATGGTCACCCTTGAATGCCGTTTTGTTTCTTGTGTTGAAAACGCGCGGAAAAGAGCGGTGTTTTTTTTTGTGTGTGTGGAAAACTCACAGGGCTGTAAATGTGGCTCTTTGGTCTGGCCGGTGGGATGCCCGGCGTGGACTTTAAAAATGAAACCTCTTGGGGGGCATTCTCCGCAGGAAGTGACCTGTGACCCCAGGCGTGGGCCTGGTGGATGTCCTGTACCTGTCATGAGCCGTGCGAGTTAGTGCCACCGCCAGCAGTAGCAGCTGCGATCGAGTGAATCTTGCGTAGTTTCGTCACTCCTGAGTTAGGAAGTTTCACGTCTATTGAACAATGGCTGGGATTTGCTAACGTGAGCTTCTATGACGGAAAAATGTGTTGCGAAAGTTACGCGAAAGTTTGGTGCAGCATATGTGCCTTCACCTGCCCTGGACTATGACTGCATGCACTGTTTGGTTTGGGGGGAGCTGCAGAAACATTACCTCATTAATTTTAATTGAGTGTAACATATATTTTTATTTATATGGTGGCATGTACTGTTAACCCATCAGAACTGTTCTACATAAACAAGCGCTAAATTCCAACTGTTGATTAAAGGAACCAAATAAAGAGGTGATTGTGCGGGATTTTTTTTATAACGGGGTTTACGGTTAATCAAATGTCACAAAGTCACACAAACGAGGCAACGGCGCAATAATGTTTCATTTGTATTCTGGTGGTCGTTAGGTTATGGGGTATGTAGTATTAGTTATATCCGGTAATTGGATATTCCGAATGTGACAGGCTGGTTTAGCATAATACAGTCCTCCTCTCTGTGGCACTCTCGTTTTGCTCACTCATTCACGCTCGCTCGCTCTCACTCACTCCCTCGCTCGCTCTCACTCTCTCGCTCGCTCGCTCGCTCTCGCTTTGCGAGTCACCCTCTCATATGCCCCCCTCTCTCCTTCTCTCTTTACAGTTCTTGTTCATAAGCTGGTTTATTCCCCAGTCTGGCAGCAATCAGAGCTCTGGGCAGTGGGTCCCAGATGGAATCTTTGTTACTCACCGGCACCGACTGCGTGCGTACGCCCACAGCGCCACGTGGCTCTGGGAGGAGCACTCTTGTGTGCTGACACAGAAGTGACCCGAAAACGCACATTTTCTCCCCACCTCCCCCCACTCCTCTCCTTTTTAGGAGCAGTTCTAAAACAAATGAGCTGGCAGTGATCCCTGACATCAGTGCCTTTTGGGTAACGTTTTTCGACGGGGTTGGGAGTGGTGGGGGGTGGTGGTTGTGTGTGTGGGGGGGGGGGGGGGGATGGATGGGGGTTTGCCGGAGTTTGAGGGGTGTGGGGGAGGCAGTGGAATGGGGACGGCAGTAAACGCTCACCTGTAGGGGCGATGGGAAGTGCCGCCCTTGTTGCGTTTAATATGGATGCCCTTTGGATACAACCGTGCTTTTCTGCAGTATCGAGTTGCTTTTGTGGCCAGCAGCTGCATCTTGATCTGTTCTACCCTGTAGATTTACAATCTAAAATGAGGGGGAGGAGGCAGTGAGGGGGATGGGGGGGGGGGAACAAAAATGGACTCCGAATGTTAACATTTAGATCCTGTTTCCTGCTCAAAGCTGCTGATCTCACCGACCCTGGAGGCTGATTGGCACAGTTACGTTTGTGGCGCCGCCGACCGTAGCGTCCACCTTTTTTTCTTTGCGCTTCCCCGTTTCCTCGTTTATCCGCGGGGCCGGCCCCACGCTCGCGGTAGAAACGCAGCAACGTTTTTTTTATGTTCGTTCTGTAAGCATTTTTTGTAGTTTTTTTCACGCGCGAGGGCACCCAGGACGCCTCTCTCCGCCGCCCCTTTTCCTTCCCCCCTCCCCCGCGTAAACGTGTGGGATGCGGCCAAACCCCCCCCAATATAAACTATCAAAGCCCCGGAACTATGATTAAATAATCCCTTTCATCTTCCCGTTTTGACCTCCTCCCCCACCCACCCAGCCACCACCGCCAAATCTTCTCCGGTTACCATCTGGACCTAAATCACCAGCGAGGCAGGAAGGAGGATGGCTGAGGTTAAATCGAAGTTTTCCAACTGTTTGGCTGTGTATGTTTAGGGTTTTTTTTTCCTTTCTCCTAATGAGATGCATGAAAACCCCTGGTGGCTCATACTCCTTATCTGCGTCCGCCGCCTGCTTTCCAAAGAGCAGCCTGAAGTACACCGTCGTCGTGTGTGACGGAGGAGTGGGGGGGGGGGGATTAAAGCCGATCGTGCTGGCGGGCTCAGTGAAAGGGCTTCGGTCTCCCAGGGATGTGGAGACAACTGCCGATGAGGGACTTTCCGTGTTGCCGCACGCGCTGCCACGGTTTAGCCGCGACACCGGTTCCTTTGTGTCTCGTTTGGCGAGATATAAAATCAATGTTTGTCAGGCGGAAAGCCACCCACCAGAGCCGGGGGAGTCCGCGTCTGGTTTAATGCCGCGCGGCAGCTGGAACCGAGAACCACATCGAAAACAGACGAAGCCACGAAGCAGAATCCGTGCCGAGCGAGCGGGGCCGTGCGCCGGGTGGCTAATCGGCGTGCGTCCGCAAAAAATCCGTGAAAACTCGGCAGCCTCAGCACCCCCGTCACCGCCAGCACCCCCATGCCTCGTGTGCAACATCGTTTGTTTCAGTCCAAGCTGTCCGCCGTGCGAAATGTGCCCCGTCTGAGTGTCCTTCATCTGATTTGCCGAGCTAATTTAAAAAAATGAGACGTCACATCTCATTGCGATGTTCCCCACTTAGAAATAATTAAGTTTGCCCATTCCTTTCTTTCATTTATCCCATTGTGCCAGATAAATGGCGGGCGTCTGAGCATCTCCGAGGTGCGGAGGAGCGATGGAGGGGAGTACGTGTGCGTGGCCACAAACTCGGTTGGCGTGCGGGAGAGTAAACCAGCGCAGCTCTTCGTCAAGGGTGAGTCTACCAAAATGAAGTCCAGATATATATTTGTGTGGAGGTCCTTTGACAGTAACCCCTTGGCCTAAGGCCACCTTGAGATGAAAGACTACCGGGAAAAATGGGTCTGTGCTACTGGTGAGGCTTTTTTCTGTGCATTAATTGAGCATGCACACTAGGCCTGTAGCAATTCACCTACCCTGGAAAAATCATGAATTGTCATTATTCCGGGGGTGGTGATGTAATTGAAGAATCAATTCTATGCCATCTTAATTTTAACTGCATTGTTTCTCATTTGTTGGTCTTATTTGTAGTGTTCTTAGGACCATTAACTTTAATGTAATCTTTGTATATAATTTGCATTAATTGCAAATAATCGATTCCTCTATGTACGATTGGATGTAATGCATGCTGGTGTCATTATTGTAATAATTGATTTTAATCGATTAATTGTTGCATGCACACATCTTTAAAACTCAGGCCTCGGTAAAACTGCACTCGGCTATTTGACAGAAATTCTCTTGTCTCCCTCTCACGACAACACAGAGAGACGGTTTGCACATTTTGCAGCTGCGAATTCACGTGCAGCTGTGTTTAAATATCCTGCTGTAGAGATTAACGGTGCGCGCACTCATTAGTTAATAACTCTACATTATTACATCATTCGGATGGAAGTCCTCTCAGCAGCTTCAAATTCATGAGCTGAGTATTGGGAACCAGCAGGTTTAATATATAAAAAAAACCCCATTAATTTATTCGCATATGTTTAAACAGATTACACCGCACCATTTTACCATTTATCCACATTGATCATCGGCAACAAAGACATTTCATTACGGACGTCACGGTCCTGTGCACCTTAGTGCTTCCCCGTTATTGCTGAGTAACTCTTGGGAGACGGATGACATTTTGAGCATTTGAGCTGAGAAGCGGGCGGACGGACGGACGGACGCTGATTCATGTATGCACGTATGTCGAACTTCTTTCGCAACCACACGTAGCGGACCGTGCTGATGCATGTGGCCTTCCCGCGCGTGCTCCCATGCTCGCCACGCTCACTGAGCTCGCTGCGTGCGTTCCCCTTTCACAGAGAGGCCGACATTCGTGAGGAAGCCCCTGAACCAGTTGGTGGCGGCGAACGGCAGCGTGGAGTTCAACTGTGAGGCCCAGGGCGACCCGCGGCCGGACGTGAGCTGGACCAAGCTCCGCGGGGAGCTGCCGCGAGACAGGTAGCAGAGCCACGCGTGGGCACGCTCGAGACGTTCCAGCGATCCGCCCGCCCCGCCACGGCAGCTTCTTGTTTCACTATCCTACGCTTCATTCCTCACGTCAGCCGTGGCCACTGGCTTTAAGTGAGCGACGGGTGCACGGTTTTTAACGAAACCCGCCTTTGGCGCTGTGCGATGTAATCATCTCGAGGTGCTCACAGGGACAATGGTCTCTTTACGTCTCGTGTTTTGCATTTAGTAATTTCCCGCCACCTCTGATTAGCATGGTTGTGCTACGTACGGTGTGAAAGAAGTTCGACGTACATACATGCGTACAATTTGCGGCGAAGCCACGGTGCCTTGATAGCACTGACCGCTGTCGTCACAGAGTGACAAAAATCCATTTCTCTAAAATTACGACATGCCCATGTGTACATAAACGTGAATGTGAGCGCAACCTCCGCTGACATGATCGTGAAACGTTTTCCCGAGCGCAGTGGACACGGACGTGCCGGCCTGCCTCCGCACACGTTACACGTGGATAACACGATTAGATAAATCCGACAAGTTTCATTGCCAGTCTGATTGTGGTCAGTCCCTCCGACCTCCATTAGCCAGTGCCGCCTCGACTTCTGACGGGGAGCGTAAGGGTTGGCGAACGTCAGGCCCGGGCTGAGACTGGTCAAGCTTTTAACCGTGCGATCCACGTACAGCGGCCGAGGCTGGTACTTGCTCCAGAGAGCTTGGGGACGTATGGCGATCATGAACGTGATTGATAAAATGTGCATCTTTTTGGCCGTGAAGACAGGTAAGCGGGCTTGGGCAGGACGCGTCGCTGGAAGGGATTATGGCCGCTGGTAGTGGCAGTCAAAGGGCGGGGGGGGGACGGGGGTGGGGAGAAACACACCCCGAGAGCATGATCCTTTTATTGCGGAGATGAAGCGAGGAGATACGCTCGCGTGCAGGCGCTGGATGGCTTGCCACGTCGTGAGATCGTGAGAGACGTTAAAGGCTTGTGGAGGCGATCATCCAGCAGTGTGTAGATAATAGCTTATGGTGATGACATTTTCTTGCATACCTATGTTCACATATATAGAGGGAGTACATGTATATACATGTACAGATTGTGTGCAGCATAGACGGAGTTTGTGTGTGGGGGGGGGGGGGGCACGCGGGGGCAACGCCCTTCCAAAACTTGACACCTTTACTAATTTATTTTAAGTCGTTCACAATAAATAAATTACATTTATGCAACCGCAATTCTTAATGGTGAGGGACAAAGCGAATCCCTGTCCCACCACCCCCCCCCCAAATATAGAAATCAAACTCCGCCGATGGTGTGCAGCCATGCATGTATATAGATGGCCGAATGAAAATGTAAAACGCTCCTTCAAAAGGCTGTAAAATCTAAGCAAAAACCCTACAGAGAAAGGATTTCTCTCGATTCCAGAAAAAAGCAGGCATCTGTGTTACAGACGCCTTGCCCTCGAATGAGGCCAAAAGACGGCCACTCCGGCTGAAATGTTGATTTCCTCTTTGAGAAATAATAAGATCTCATCTCTTTATCACTACACGTTCATGAATATATTTATCATAGATGATTATGAGTGTGCACATCTCTTCTGTGTATATGTATATATATCGTCATTATTATATCCCAGGAACATGGGATGTTTCATATCACATAGTTTTCACAGCTAATAAACCCCCCCCCCCCCCCACTATAAATAATGAATGAACTAACGCACGGCTGTAAGCCGTCCGCTCTTTTTATCGCCGGCGTGAAAGTGTCATCGCCGTCGTAAGCTCGGCAGTTCGCGGGAAAGATTAAGCCTCCAGCTTCTTTTCTCTTGTCCCCCCCCCTCCCCCTTCTCTGTCTTTCTCGTGGCGCTCCAAGGGTTAGGCACGCATCCGTAAGGAGGATGTTGCTGGAATAAACCTCGCAGAGTTGGCAAGGCAGAAAGGGAGCGCCAGACCCAATCCGTCCGCTTGTCAGTCGATGTATCTCGGCGATAATGTGCCGTGCTGCCAGACAGCGAAGTGCCGCGCTGTTTATACGAGGGGTATTGGGTTACCTGCTAAAGGACACTTGAAGATGCAGGGGGAGGCTCTTTTACACGCCACTCTCCCCCCGATGCTGTTTGTGAAACTGAATCCCGTTTCGGATATTTTGAAAGAGGTAAGCCTCTTAGCCACCGTCACGCCCGTTGTGTTCGGTGGGTAGATGAGGTGGTGGCGGAGGAGGAGGGTTTTGGGGGGTAACCCTTTGCACACTTAGGATACTCTTAAAGCCTTCCTATAATCGCGTGCATCATTAGCGAATTTCTCTCGTTTTTTTCTCTTCTTCCCATGCCTCTTTTCATTTTGGAATTCGACACGATGTAGTCCCATGCGATTTGCGATGTGGAGTTGGAAGGTGTCAGCTAATCGGATAATTTAAAAACGCGCATGTCCACCGTTTTTTGACGCGAGTTTCCTTTTGAATCACGGTTTCTAAAGCAGACGCCCAAAGGCCTAAAACGGAAACTATAGAATACACTATTGATAACAAAGCAGGTAAAAATTGGGATTAACTGTACCTAAACATAATTTTGCATAATTACCTAAATAATAAGAACTATTAAAATATATTCACATCATCATCAGCCATGATCAGTTCACTGCTGAACGAAGGCCGACCCGAAGCCATCGCCATTTCATATAGTCCTGTGATGTAATAATACGTCTCGTGATTGCACGAGCTGATTCCATCACTTCATCTCTGGACATCAGCTTTGGTGTGTTTCTCTCCTTTAACTGTCACTCTGACCTTAGCCTCGACCATCAGCCATCGCCTGCTATCATACATTCTAGTGTCCTCACATCTAATCTCTTCATATATATATTTTTGTACAAATACAGTAAACCAAAACATAGGCTGGCAGGTGGTGATGGCAGTGAGCGGTGGTGTGTGTGTTTGTGCACCCTCACTAAGTCAATTCAGTCACTCGCCAATTGACGGTCAGACGCCTTCTCATCACCCTTCTATTGCTACTAGCATGGTTACTGCTCCATACACTTCGACTCGACTGTCCGTTTAGTTTTGTCTTATCCATAATGCAGGTCAAAAACACTTCCCTTTCTGCTCCTAAAGTGGAGCACTGCTCCACTTTAGACTTCAGCGCCAATGTCTCTTTTCTACAGTTCTCATAAATTACCCTCGCTCAACTCTAGAATAATGTGAACCCTCGCACGTTTTAAAACTCTGATCGTGCCGATTGTTTGTCAGCCACTTGACATTTTGGAACTTTTGGGCCTCCTTTTGGGCCTGTGCTCAGCAATAAAGAAACTCGTCATAGTAATAACAATGATATCGTGAGCACGATGGGTGTGGTGATGGTGGTGATGTTAGTGATGATGGTGGTGATCAAATTTTGTTTGTTGCGGTTGCACCCGACTTAAGAGCCGCATGGCTCACAGGGCTATACCTAATAAATGAAATTAAATGAAAACTTGTGGTCTGCTCGCGCCAGGCACGAGGTGAAGGCTGACAACACGCTGCGCATCTGGCTGGCGCGGCCATCCGATGCCGGGACGTACACGTGCGTGGCCTCGAGCCAGCTCGGCAGGGCCGAGGTGTCTGCCTCTCTCAACGTTCACGGTGAGTGCCCCCCTCGGCTCGATGGGCCCAGCTGTCGCTGGCTGTTGAAAAGCACGTTAGCCCATCTCGTCCGCCGGCCGCAAAACTCGTAAAAACTCTCTCGGCTCGTTTTATAGTTTCCTCGTTGGAAGACTAAAACTATTATCTGTCAGGCTCCAACGGTCGAAGCGGTTGGGTGGAGGGACGCCTGTGGAAGCTTGTCCCGCTAAACCCTGCTGCGGCAACAAAAACACTCAACTATAAACTATTTTTGTCTTACCAGGTAAGGCCCACTGAGCTCTTTTTCAGACGCTCAATGGAGTGGTTTATCACGTGGAAATTTAGAGGAGCCAAATGTGGAGGGAAAAAGCAGAGGACTTGCTAAATTAAAATATGCGGGTGTCCGGGTCGGGATCAAACCCACGCCCTCTTGTATACCAGGCGAGGGTAGTTAACATCTCGCCACCGCGGCGGAAGATGTGACCGCCCCCCAAAAAAACCCTCCCACAAACAGTGCTTATCTAGTGAGATAACGTCACGAAGCAGCGTGTCCTCGGTTGCCTGACGTGGGTGTGAAACTGTTTATTCGATGAGGCCCAAAGAATTTGGAATCACAGTCTGGTGTTCCGTCGTAGCACTCCAATAACGTCCCCGCCTTTACATCGAAATCTTGGTAACATCAGCTGCGTGCCCTCATGAAGTCATTTACCGTAACCTTAACAGTACATTTGTCTGCTCAGCAGGGCTTCAAAGCCAGTTGTTGGACAACCCAGTGCACGCAGCCTAGGCATGTAGCGACAAGGCAGCAGCTGTTTGTGTTTTGGTTCACAGCTTTCTTGAATGCGGTGTTTCCCAACTGCAGTCCTCCCAAACTGCCCACCACCCCCAAAACAGCTTTCTGCGATTTACCAAACAGGTGCATGCAGTGTGCAGTGACTTCATTTTCATATGAATAGTACAGATCTGTAATCTCCACCGTGGGGGGGGGTCACGAGGGTTGGACTTGAAAAAAACACCGCTTTAACGTCTTGGGCAATGATACATATATTTTGTGTGTGTGTATTGATTCGTCTTGCAATCTTCACACAATGGAGGGTGTGGGGCGGGGGGGATGTATTTCACGAAACAAGCTGGCACAAGCACAACCTTTGGCAGGGAGACAGCGGTGTGTGTGCCCGAGGCCTGCGTCACCAGCGGGCAGTGATCCCCATCGAAAAAAACATACCAGTGTGATGGGGTGGCAGAGGTTAAGAAATGTTTCCATACACCGCCGCGCACGCACAGCCACCGCTCGAGTGCCAGCGCAGGATGGCCCATGGCAGCACGCAACAATACAACGGGCGCCGCGGTGGCGAGTCCATCACCCAGAGTGAATTATCTGTGTGGTACGTCCTGCATATTATTTGAGTTTCTCCCACAGCCTTCGTCAATGTAGCTGGAGACGAAAGCCCTGTTTTCCGAACGCACACGTGTTTTGCCACGCTCTGCCCGGTGCGTGACGTGAACCGCTGTGAGTGTTCTTGATGGTCGCCACGTGCTCCACGCGACGGAGCTCGCCACGTGCTCGACGAGCGCCCCCCGTGCTCCGTGTGAACGCGACGGCGAGGAGGAGGAGGAGGAGGAACAGTAGCATCCGCAGCGCGCAGGAACGTGTCGATTCGGTGCCACGGCTGGCAGGCCACCACACCCCTCTGGACGCGCCGCCATTCGAGGCGGATGGCACATCCTTTGTTCTTCCCATCACAGACGCGGCTCGCGCTTTGCCCACATTTTTTTTGTTATTCGACTCGTGCCGCGCGTTTCCTCGTCACGACGTGTGACATTTCGCTCTAACGTGCCGGAGTTCCTGAAAATAAGATCCCTTGCACGTGGAGCGAAACGTCGGGCATCCTGACGAAGAGCACGCGGTAACAACGCGAAAGTCGCACCGGAGACACGTACAGCACAACCACACAAAAAAAAACCTACGCGGTCAGCGTGCATTTGGTCGTTTCTATCTTGTGGGTGAAAGTTTTTTAGACCACTTACGTTTGCTTCGTAACGAAAATCAAGAATATTCTGCTGTGTGGATTCACCATTGAAACAATGCCTCTGGCTCTCAGTGTGCCAATTTCAGCAATTGCTGCTGCTTGCAACCAAATTAGGTAGTGACCCCTTGTGTATGGGGGGGGGGCGGCGGAGTTTCTGTCGCTGGTGATCATGCCATTAACTGTGCCGCAGCTGCGCCAAAAAGTGCTGTTTTAATGCCTGATTTAGCTGGTTAGTTTTAATTTGTTACTGCAATAAGCAATCCCGTTGCAGTAATATCCTGCAAATTATCTTGTTTTTTTCTTCTTCTTCTTCTTCTCACATTGAAGAAATTGAGCATGAAAATCAATCCAAAGTGCGTCAACGGCACAGCGAAAGTGTTTTCCATTTCCTGTGAAAAAAAACCCAGAATCAATTACCCCACTTCAGCGTCGCTCGCTGCCACATCTCTAATGAATTAGTTCTCCGCCAAGAACCGTAAGGGGATGCGGCGCTGTTTGCCTCCGCGTAGATCACACAGGGCGATCCTTGTCATCGACACGACAAATTAGTCATCGTAGGCACGGTGCTCTTGCCGTGGAAGTCTCACGTCTGCTGCTGGATTCCTGGCCAAGCCGCGTCGGCGATGGATGCTCCGCAGTCATTGGCGACGGATACTCCGCAGTCATCCATTGCTTGCTTGTCCTGCTAAACTAGCGCTGCTGTGGTCCTGGTTGCAGCAGCCCTGCTGGATAATAACGCATCCGTTCAAATCGTCTGTGCGGTGATCAGGCACCCACGGTTTGTGGCCCACGATCAGAAGCAGAATCAGAATATTTATTTATAACCGGAGGAATTCGATGAGCTGTAAAGCTCCTTTTTTTTCTTCCACAGATCGCTAACTCGCTGAGCACCTCCGCAGTGCCCCCCACCCCGCACCCTCCCCCGCCTCCTCGGCGCACAGATCATTTATTTTTCAATCCCATTTTTCCCCGAAACAAATAACCGAAGGTTAAGGCCTCGTATTTGAGGTCAACAAGGGGCAGACGGTTTTACAGAAATAAAAAAAATACGAAACACGTGCGTTTGATTACTCAATATTGATCCAGACATTGCTGGCGAGGTAATAAGCGTTCAAGTGGTCCTCCTCCCCTCCCGCCCCCCCCCCCATTTTTTCCTTTATTAATCAGAGGTATTTTGATTGGATGTAATTGGAGGGTGATTTAATGACACGGGCCAGCTTTGGACTTGAGCCAAGCAGCTTGTGTAAATTATAAAAGAGTAGAGAGTTAGGGGGTTGCTTTGACCGGTTTGAGGCCCACTCTGCTTGCTCAGCGCAGAGCGCCCTGGGCGTTGCTGAGGGTGAAGCCACGGGGCCTGGGATATTGCGAGCGATTGCACGGCTCCGAACGCTGTCAGCGTGGGACGAAGGATCACCGACGATTATCGATCCAAATGCGTTGAGGGGGGCCGGCGGGCAGTGAAGAGGCGGCAAGAGGCGTGGCTCACGAAGACAGCCGCTTGTTTACTGCAGACAAGCGTTTGCTGCGAGGGAGGAATTAAAGGCTGGGGGGGTTGGGGGGTGAGAGCGTTTTTGCCGTGAACTTTCCCCCAATATTTTCTCGTTAAAGTGGCGCACCTGGTGATCACGGTGGGCGGGCGGGGGGGGGGGCCCTTTGTGCCAAACTCTGCTGCTGCAACCAGTGAGTGGGGGGCGATCTCGAGATTAGCCTTGCATTTGGGAGCCCTTTATTAAATAGCGCAGGCAAGGGAAGGGGGTGGGGTGGTGTTTTCAGTAAACAGTTTTCATGAAAAAGGAGCGCAGCGAACATGAAATGCCAACGCCAGTCGCTGGGATTTGGGTAGCCGAGATCAAAGGGACGAGACGAGCGGTGTGAGGTTCGTGAAATTCCTGGGGGGAATGGACGGGGACAGTTATTGGCCCCGGAGAGACAGAGATTACTCGCCCAGCCGGGGTAAAGGAGTGACGCTAAAAAGGCAGGCTGTGGCGCGACCAGAGCGAATTGCGGTACCCGTGCTGCGCGCGTGCGTGTGCGCGGCTGGAGGATAATGGGTAAGACCGGGGGGGGGGGGGGGGGTGGGGGGGGTGGCAGGGGCTTGTGCTAATATTTCTGTCTCGGAGTATGCCGCTGACAGCAGCTGAACCGCGAGGAAATATGTGCACGGCCGTGATGGTGCCTCAATGGAACACATTGCAGCTGATTAGCGGGAGGCCATGCACATGGCCCCAGTACCCGCAGAGTGGGGTTTTTGTTGTTGTTGCAACAAAGTAGAAAGCGTGGCTTTCAGTAACGCAATATTGTGGACGTGTTGCGTCGATGCAAATTCCAATTATTATATAATTGCTTGTGAGCTCCGGGGAGACGCCTTTGGCTTTTGTCCCACAATTTGGCACCGTGCCCACCTGACTCATCCTTTTGCGTGGCCTTTTGGTGAGTTAGAAGCAGAATGGTGGGCGGACAAACATCTGTTATGATTACGATAGTAGCGTGATGACGATGACTGAAAATAATGATATTTCAATGAATCCAACGGTAGTATGATTTGAAAGCTATATTGCAATTCAGCGATCCGTCAATCACAAGGAACTGATCACTCCATGAAAGTTTTTTTGCTCGCTCTCCCAGGTCAGGTCGCCCTCTCAAAAATAAAAGAAATCCAATTTGCATTTTAGAAATGGCATTTTTTTTTGGACTGCATATGTTAGTTTGTTGTCCTTCCCCCGCACCTCCGATTAGCACGGTTGGATAAGTACGGTGCGAAAGAAGTTCAACATATATATCTTATCACTTGCTGACGGTTGCTTCTTTAGTTATAAGCAGAATAACAGACACGCAAAGATACTTCAATAAATCATGACCGGTGTTACGATCAATTTTTAGACGCTGTTAATCAAGGTTAGGGCTGGGCCGCTAACAGTTATAGGGGAAGGTTGCTAACCTTTGGTTGCTTTTCATTGGACTGTTGGCTACATTATAAACGCAGTGTAATTATCCTTTGCGATGGCTAAGTCAGTTGGACGAGTACCCAGAATTGTAGTGCTTGAAACACGTGTTCGGTGACTTTGACAACTCCCAGGCAGTTTCTTTGGGGATATTCTGCAGGGTGGTATCAATTATATGTGATCGTTTAAAATTGATTCCATTAAAATATACTTCGTGAAATATGTTTGTAAATTAAAGTTGCTCCCTGCAAAGGCAAAAACAAAGATCCCCCATATAGCCTGAACAGACTGTTGGGGCAAGTACTGTTAGCGAGCACCTATGAAGGCTGGCATAGCATTTGAGGGGTGGGTGGCCTACACCACAGCCGGCCGCCTTTGTCTCCCTAGTGGCAATACTTTTACACATCGCACTAGGTACGTATTTGAGACTGAGTAGACCTAGGGGAGGCCCATGTACTCATTCAGATAATGATCACCGGTGTTGGCCGTGAGTGGGAATCGAACTCAGGCCGTCGGGTTCGCAGCGCAGTGCGCTAACCGCTACACTACCGCTCCCCTGCAAAGGCACACACACACAAGCATAGGCACATACACACCCGTAGATTCTCGCGTATGTGCGCGCACACAAGCACACGAGTAATGGAAAACTACAAAGATATGCTGATTTACACACACACACATGAGTAGACACATACGAACCTGATCTCCCAAGTATTCCCTGCCCCTCGACGTGTACATACACCCAAAATGCGTCTCAAAAAGATCAACGATAGACACGTGCTCGAGTCTGTTGGGTCTCATCAGAGCCTTGCAGACATATTCCGGCCAAACACAACACACATTGACACGTGCGCACGCAACGACGTAGATATCCTGTTAAAACCCTGACAGGCAGGCCATGTGCCGCTAGTGAGTGCCTATTAAGGCCGGCACGGCACACGTAGGAAGAAGGCGTCCGATAACTCGACTTTTTTCCCTCGGGTGCCGATAATGGCAGGCTGCATCAGGTACTTATTTTCACGTTGAGCTGACCAAAAGGGGCAGCCAAGTCAGGTTCAGATATTACTTGGTAATTAGCTTTGTACAGTCATGAATTGCCAGGATTTCAACACTGGTGCGTGAACCACTGGTACCAGGCCCACCCACCCACTTACGCACAGACACCCGCACAGACACACCTCACCTCATGGCAACAATGACTTCACCTGACTCGATTGAACTTGTTTAGAACACCACAACAAAGTACTTTTTTGACTCACAATGCTGCGAAATAGTATTGGAATGACTGTTTGAGACTTGTCCAATGGTAAATAAATGAATTGGTTTCGGCAAATTTCATTACAGCCACGCTTGTGAAATTAACGGCCAGATATGGTTCTGTTGAAGCGTGGGAGTGTGCCCTTGTTTAGGCCTGATATGGTATTTTAAAATGTCTTTTGTTCCGTAATTGCCCTGTAATTGCCCTGTAATTGACACTGCTATTCTGGACAAAGCTATTAAGCTATAATAAAAACATTTACAAGGAAATTTTGGGAAATGGCAGGCCATTAAGTCACTTGTGGTCATTTTGGTTATAAATTGCAACCTTTGGCTCATGTAGTTTTACTGAATACATTTGGTTAATAACACTTTCAATCCTATTACGGACCACGAGAAATGGAAAACTCGGCTTTAACGAAAATTATATGTGATTTAGCAGACGTGCTGCGTAAATAATACATGCTTATTACAGTTGTTTATGTTTGCGTCCAACGCATTTGAAATGTCAGCTGCAGTTACTCTGCGAACGCATTGTGCCGAGCGTGCCGTTTCATCTGTGCTTTGAAGCTGCATGTGGATGATGACCCGTTGCTTTTTGTCTTCCCTCCCCGCCCTTCTCTCGCCTCCTCTCCCTCCCTACAGTGGGCCCCTACGGTAAGTTAAAGAAGCGCAAAAAAAAAAAGCTTGCACCTCTCCATTGTAACGCTCCTCCTCCTCCTCCGCCCGCCGCCGTGCGGTTGCTAAAACGCCGCCGCAATTAAGCCTCTGAACGCTCGGTGCTTACCGATTGACACAGACCGTCTCGTCCTTACCGTGGCACTCACATAGCCTCTCATCTTTTTTAAATGCCTGGATTTATTCACCCACCGCGCTTTAGAAACAAAGTCCTCCTTCTGCCTGCCTGTTCACACCAAATGCTGCATGGCAGCACAGTTTCCTTATCCAATTCACAGAGGGTTATGATAAGAAAAAATATTTAATAAAGCACGCAGAAGTAGAAAATGGCAAGTGAAACGTTAAATGAGTAAGAAGGAAATCATAGTAAGAAATAAATAAGCAGATGGAAATGAAGCTGCTCCTTCTTGTATTATTAAGAAAGGCGGTGAGGAAAAAAACAAGTGGGGGGCGAGGGGGTGGGTCGTGGAGGATCATGCTCACCATTTTTTCAATAGCTAATTTTGCAGAGCCACAAATTTCCTGCAACGCATTTGTTTTTTTATTCGGCATTTAATAACCTGCCCCGGAGCTCGGCCCGTGACAGAGTTTTGAAATGTTATAGCAACAGCTGCTCGGCGGAATGCGAGTAAATTGGATACGGGAGAGAAGATCGCGCTGAAGGCTGCGCGCGATTACATTTTGCGGAGTTCACGTTGGGCTATCTCTCGGGCACTGCGGCGGGCCACTGTGTTCGTCCACCAGCGCCCTGGCCTACACCGCCACCGCCGCCGCCGCTCCCTATCATGCTCGTCGAACAATCGCCGCCCGGGACGGGAGGGGGGGGGCGCCGTGATGCCAGCGATGCCAGCCTTGTGCGCCCTGGGGCTTTCTCTTTGTAAACGTCAACGCGTGGGGGTGGTCGCTCGCCTCACTCTCGCTCAAGATGAGCAAAGCTGGCCGTGACAAACAAGACATCGCGGCTGCATGCCTCAGGTGTTGATGTATAAGTTTATTTTTAATTAGCTCATGTATTGAAGCGTTGACAGCGGGGGGGGGGGGAGGGCGGGGTGGGGAGGGGGGGGTGCGCAGTATTAAAATTAGAGCCGTGTTAAGTGAGATTCATGCTAATATTCCACGGGTAGTGTTAGCCGTTGGGATAGATCGGCACGGAACCAGGTGGCCGTGATTATGAGCGTGGAATCCGCAGAGCCTTGGAGGCGAGGGCTCTTTCAAAAGGGTGTCAGCGGGTGTGCGAGAGAGCTGCTTTAGCAGGGGGCCGAGGGGAGTTGGGGAGACGGAGGGGTAGAAGGCGTTGGGGGGGGGGGGGTGGCGGGGGGCGCGTGAGCAAGTGTTTTAGAACAGGAGCGAAATTCAGGAAAGAATTAATTTTGTAAACCTGGTTTGCACCTCCAGACGGCCCCTAATTATCAGAAATAGCAGCGCCGCTGGCTCGCGGAATGCAAGGCCGGCCTTGGGGCGACGCTCGTAATTGGGACACGGACCGCGCGGCGAAAGGGAACTCATTTGTGCCGCATCAGCTGTGGCCGCTGAAAGGAGAGGCGCGCTCGCTCCCCCCCCCCCCCCCCCCGCGTGGCGCCGTCTCCCCGAGGGGGTGTCGGAGAGCCGCGACCCAGGCACCCTGCCCCCCCCCCGTGCAGTCGGCGGGTATCGGGCGAACCCGGCGGCCGGTTTTGGTAGCTTGCGTGACTGGCGGCGAGCTACCAAAATAAATAAAACGAACGCCCTCGCCCTTCAGAAAGTGCTTCTTTCAGCCCGGTGATCGTGCGCAGCTGTTGGTATTTTTCAACGTGAACCTTATTCCGGTCTGCGTTGGGTAAATTGTTCCCTTGAATGTGACATTTTCTCGTGAGCACGCCCGCACGGCTTGGCTTTTTTTGTTCTGCGAAGGGCATCCGGGCTCGCAGCGGAGGATGTTTGGAAGTGAATGCTGTCACGTGTAGATTTTGCTCTGTGCAAAGCTTTTGTCTCAAGCGCTTCTAAGCAGAAAATTAGAGAGATTTTTTTTCTTTCATAAAGCATAACAACAAAGGCAACAATTTTCTCATTTTGCGGAATCTGCATTGAGTCTGTTCTCACAGATTTAAACGTGTGCGTTTATTCTTTTAATGTTTATTTTTCTCGTATCACTGTTTAATGTGCTTATCTTAGCCGGACACTGGTAGGAAATTATCTTTCCCTTTGTAGTGCCATGTATGTCCAGTGTTTACCAGTCTCAGATAATTGTTTATGAAAGACAAATGTGACAGTGTTCGTGCACGTGTCTTCACTTGCGCGTTCATGTGTCCACCTGTATGTGCGCGTATGCGCCCATGCACCTGTGCGTGCATGCGGCCATGCACCTGTGCGTGCATGCGGCCATGCACCTGTACGTGCGTGCCCATGCACGTGTGTGCACACACACATGTATGCTCATGCACCTGTGCGTGTGCGTGATTGTGATTGTGGTGGTGGTGGTGATTATGATTCAGCATCCCCCCAGTTGGTGGTGCAGCCGCGCGACCAGGTGGTGGAGGAGGGACAAACGGCCACATTCCACTGCCTGGCTGCTGGGAACCCACCTCCCTCTGTGTTCTGGCAGCGAGAAGGCACGCAGGTAGGAGCCGCTGCGCCACTCATTTGCGCCCATTCCCAGATAAACAAGCTGGCAAGCCACGGCATTAAGGGAGCCTCGATTGAGTTAGCGATTCAGTGGCGCGTGGAAATGTGCGAATGACAACACGCCAACGCAAGTTCGCGAACCGATTCACACGGTCGGCATGAACTTTGCATGCCTGTGCTCTGACTCGCGCACAGTAATTGCATGGTTACACAACGTAATATATAAAAAAAAATGTTTTTTTTAAATGTAATCTGTTGTAAACCCGTCGTGAGTTTGAGTGCCTTCTCTCTCTGCGCACGCACGCCTCGCGTGTACACGTAGTTAACGGAAGCAATGCCTGTCATAATCAGATCGTTGACAATTGGTCAGGCGCACACAATTGGACGATAGTTTCAAAACTTTCACAACGGGCACTCATAGTGTTGCCTTTTTCCCTGTGCATAATGATTTTTTCCACGTTCAATGCACCGGCTCATCGACCGTTTTAATTATTTCGCGCCAACAACGCCACTGTTGTTACAACGTAGGCGTGTGCATCCAACAACACAATACAAACAAGCCAGACAGTAAACCAGAGACAATACAAATGAAAAAACGACAACATTGGATTCCATTGCTGAATCGAACCATGATCCCATATCGTGACAACATATTGAATCGTGGATGGAGGGAGGTAGGGGGGGGTAGGGGTGCACGTGGGGAGTGGGTGATTAATTACAAGCATCATCCAGGAGAAAAAGAGTAACATAACCCAGGGCAACGACCATGGCAGGAACATTATTTGACAGTGCAGCATAACGAAGTGCCATTGTTGGCACAAACTTGTTCAAATAATTGTAACAAATTAAGACGATTATTATTATAACTTGTAGCTCTTTGTCAACCCGACGTTGAATGAAAGTCTGTGGCGCTGTGTTTCGGCTCATGGCAGTTTGTTTGGCTGTTCTTCACCACGCTGATGCAGGGGTGTCCCAGGACACGTTCAGATGCCACTGGTCACTGATGTACGCTGATTCAAACGGATGTCACCTCGCTTCAATTCTCCAACCGCTCATAATGCATGCAAACGGCCCGAGGATCATGCGCCCAGTTTCGATTTTTCTTCGTCAGAGTTCCACTGACCCGCCTTGACCCTGGGGGTGTCGTGCGTCAAACTCGTGTGCTCCAGACGTTGGGAATCAATCTTTCGCTTTTGGGCTTTGTGGGAGCATACCACCTGTGATCTCCCGGCATAGCCAGCGGCTTCACGCTTCTAACGTAGATATGCACTTACGATCAATCGCTTCACCCTCTGCAACACGGGATTCGCTAGTGAATTTGCCATTCTTATTTCTTCATAAAGACGTTTTTTTTTCTCTCTTGTTACGGCATTTTATGTGGTGTTTCATTACCGGACACCTGCAGCTGTTTTTAAAATTTGACTTTTCGTAGCGGCTAAATGCCACCCGGGCATATGAACACTTGATGGAATGTGCCCCCTTCGGTCACCGCTCTTCCCTTTTTCATCTGTGCCGCCACAGAATCTGCTCTTCCCGAATCAGCCGCTGCAGTCCTCCAACCGCCTGTGGGTGAGCCCCAGCGGCGACCTCACCGTGTCGGACGTGCGGCCGTCGGACGCCGGCTACTACATCTGCCACTCGCTCAGCGTGGCCGGGAGCGTCGTGGCCAAGGCCTACCTCGACGTCACCGATGGTACGTTACATATGGACGTACGTTGAACGTTTTTCGCACTGTTACGTAGCCAACTGCGCTAAGAGGAGGTGCAGGGGGGAAAGACAACAAACTAAACGCAAAAAGCAGTTCTAAAGCAATGAGTTTTTCAATCCAGAGGATGATTTAAAAGTGCACAGCTCCAGTGGCTTCCTAATATGGAAAGCAAGAGTGTTTCAGATGGCCGCAAAAGCGCATTTGGAAGCGCGCGATGCGATGACCGTCTTTGTCCGATGGCTAGCCAGAAGAAGCCGGTGTGAGGGTCAATTGAGTGCGCATGACGATACGGGGTAGCGCCACGAGCATGAGGAGATACAAGTCACCAAGTGTAGCTGCGGTGATGTTCAGCGGATTGACGGACTGGCACGGTGTGCCTCACAGCAAGAAGGTGCTGAGTTCGATTGCCAATTCAGGTGCCTTTCTGTATGGAGATTGCATGTTATTCCCCTGATTGTTTGGACAATATTTGGTATTGTGCAATATCTTGACAGGTAACTGGGAAGTCTCATGTGGTTTCAGTCATGGAATTGGTACAAAATACCGAGGTGTTGCAGTTTTTGTGCTGATATTGGGATATACCTGCTTATATAACCAATCCTAGCATCATGGACCATTCAGGTGTCACTCATAAATGCAGGGAAGGGTGAATTTGCTGTGCCTCATTGCGCAATCCACAAATACGAAGGAGACATCACAGCGATACATCTCTGCTGCTGCCCCTGACGCGGTTGCCTGGCTTGACCACCTGAATGTGAAATTTCAGTTGTTGCTCTGCATCCATAATAGAGGTTTTTTGGGGTTAGATCGCGTAAATATATAAATGTTGTGTCGTTGAAAACCCGCCACCACCCAACACAGCCAACTAGTAAGGGTTAACACGTAAACAGAACGTGGCCAATTCGTCACTAGTACAGCACACCGGTGTGTTGGAGAGCCTGAGTACAATCTGAGTACAGATTGTAAATGTTGTGGCTTGGCTCTCCAACACACCGGTGTGCTGTACTAGTGACGAATTGGCCACGTTCTGTTTACGTGACAACCCTTACTACTTGTCTGTGTCGGGTGGTGGCGGGTTTTAACGACACATTTATACATTTACGCGATCTAACACAAAAAAACTATTTTATGGATGATATTGGTCGTGAAAGCCTACCACGTGTTAAACTGCCCTGCATCATTGTCAGCCGTACGAAAGAAGAAGACTGAATAATTTTCTCGTTTTTCCAAAGGTAAGTGTTTAGATTAAATATTTTTTTGCCCTGTGAAAATTCTCCTACTTGTGGCTGCATCAGCAACTGTTTGTGCCAAGGTAATCCCATATGTCTGGATGCTTTACAATCTTTAATGGTGCAGTGTGGCTGTAAATCTAAATTTTAGTACCACATGGGTGAGTAAATCTAAATGTTTTGCATTGCACACTCGTAAATTGTCGGCCCGCTTGTAGGCTTTCCCGGGTAAGTGAAAACGTAAGTGCCTAAATCTAATTTTTACATCCATCCTGCATGCGCCCAGCATAATTCACTTCACGGGGCATTTGATGGAGTCGGTATATATATATAAAAAGAATAAACTTAGAAAGTTACACATTTCCGCGTGTCTCCCCTCCCCCCGCCCGTGTCACGCGCAGTCACACTGGAGAACCTTCCACCCATCGCCCGTCAGGTGGCAGTCAACCAGACGGTGCCAGCGGCTCGCTCCGTGGTGCTGCCCTGCCAGGCAGTGGGCGGCGGCGGCGGCGGCGGCGGCGCCACCACTCCCACCATCGTTTACTGGCTCAAGGGTGGCACCAGGATCCCATCGCAGGATGGTCGCATGTCATGGCAGGAAGGCCGAGGGCTGCAGATAAGCTACACGCGGGTACGCCAACGTACCCACGCCGTCGCTTGTCAGTGGCTCGGCCTCGCGGGCCACCCCGCCCCCCCCCCCCCCCCGAAGCTTCGGCGCTACTGTCGCTCGCTCGGCAACTTGTCGAGGGGGGCCTCTTGAATGTGCCAATGCTCGCCGACGCGCGCTCGTAATCTTTACCCTTGGACTATCGCGGAACGGAAGGGTGCGTTTTGTTAACTGAGCCGCCTTTGTTCGCCGAGGTGCAGACAAAATTTTTTCGTGTTCTCAACCTGAGAAAAATAATTTATCTCCACAGAGGCCTACCGGCTTGTCTTGCGGCTGTTATCGGAGCGATGAGGCGGGCGGTAGTTTGTAGCTGATGGATAGGTTAGCTGAAATGCTTTCGCACTCAAGGGAGACTCCCCATCACGGCTTATCTGGGCATAGTTTACCCACACTCCCCTCCCCAGTATCCCACCCACGGACACATGGACACATTCTCTCACACACTCCCACACACAGTTACAATGACAAGTATACCAATATAACCATACAGACTGCTGGGGCAAGCGTTGTTAGTGAGCGCCTATTCATGCTGGTAGGCGGCTGTGTGGCCAGCACCACGCCGGGCCACCTTTGTCTCCCCAGTTGCTGGTCTTTACGCACTCCCGGAGATAATAATTATTTAAGGCTGAGTCAACCTAGTGAAGATCAAATATCGTTTCCGATACCACTTGCCACTGGTGATGTCTTTGGTTTAAAAGCAATCTCACGATGCTTTATTCAGAGCACACTGCCCAGATACACAAAGGACTAACTAGACAATACACGAGAAACAGTTGCAGATACCACTCGCCACTGATGTTATCCTCGGTCGAGAATCAAGCACGGGGGTCGGTGTGATCATAGCAAACCAACGGCCCCCACACTCACAAAAGACTGACGGAAGAACAAAGTCGGGTATATTGAGGTATGCTGACACACACAAAGACAAAGATCTCCCATATCGCCTTCAGCAGACTGTTGGGGCAAGTGCTGTTAGCGAGCACCTTTTATAAGGCCGACACGTCACACGAGGGGGTGGGTGGCCAACACCACACTCGACCACCTTTGTTTCCCCAGTGGTGATGTTTACACACTGCACCAGGTACTCATTTGAGGCTGAGTCGACTTAGGGGAGGCCCATGACTGATTCACATAGTCGTCATTGGTGTTGGCCATGAGCGGGAATCGAACCCGCGTCGCCAGGTTCATAGCGCAGTGCGCTAACCGCTGCACTCCCACTCCCCCATGAGCACACACAGATACAGACACACAGACACAGACCCACGTACATCTAAAGTCACACGTATTTGTGGCGGGTGGTATTGGCCTTGTCAGTGCGTGCCAATATTTAATCTCTCTCATGCTAGAAGGGAGTGGTTGGGGGCTTTTTGGATGTTTTTTTTTTAAAGCAGCCTGCGGTTTTTTTTGGTCACCTGATGTAACAAGGAGAGCTATCACTGCCATTTCGACGACAGGATCAGCTCTTTGTACTTCCTGTAGCACGCGATACAGAATTTTTGTTTTCTTTCTCCTCTTTCTGCAAATAACTAAAAAGCCGTTTTTAAAAATAGCATCGCGAGACCATGCTTACCCCGCATCACTCCCCCATCCGCTCCAGCCTCCAGCCCATACACAAACCAGCTGTTTGCAGCGCCAAAGCTTCTTGTGCAAGACTCAAACCATAAAACAAAAAACGAATGATGTTGAGTTGGGGAGTAATGCAGTCCCTCTGTAGTCATTTATTAAGTCCCGATCAGCTCAGTTTACAGGAAATCCACTTCCCATCCTTTAGCCAGAGCTCGGGATGCAGGAATTGGGGAGCTCAGTAAAGTGGCCTTGTGGCATACCAATTCACAGAGCACAACGACTGAGCCTCATTTAAAATGTATGTTTGCCTGTCAGCGCCAAGCCTCATTGTTTCTCGGTCGGCTATAAATATGCCCTCTTTGCGTTTAACTTGGTTGGCGTTGTTAGAAAAATGGAAAAAAAGGTGGGGGGGTGGTGGTGGAAGAAATGTACGGCCCAGTCGCGCGGCGCTATTATCCGCATTGTGTTTAAAAATCCTCGTATAAATCTCGGCTATAGGAGCGCAAACTCGTCGTCAGATAGAGCTCCGTTAATCTTCTTCCCTGCCCGGTCTGTTTTTTCTTGGGTGTGGTTTGAACTTATCAAAACAACACTTCACTTTAGAAGCAACAGCTCTCCTCCGCGTGAGTGTGAGAACCACTCCAGACGTCGTTTTCACAGTGTCATATCGAAATTACGTTCGCTTCGGTCGAATCGTTCCGTGTGTCGTGTTTTTTTGCGATAATTTCACAACTGAAACGTGTCACATTTTTATTGAGGAGTCGTAAGAGCTTTACTCGGAGGGGCGGTGGGGTGGGTGGGTGGGCAGTGGTACAGTGACTGACACATCGTGTTACTAACCTGGTGGACCTCGGTTCGATTCCTGGCCACAGCTAACGTTATTGGCGAGAGATATCTGAACCAGTCGTGGTGGCCTCCCCTTCACCAACCCGCACTGACCAGCATCATCAAGTTTTTGTCAAACAACCCCCATGACTGACATATTTGAGGGGACGTCTTTCATCCAGCAGCGGATTGACAAAGGGAAATTTAAAAACAAAGTTTTCTGAATCTTTCAGCAGGCTCATGTGACATTAACTGCAACTGCATTCCTAAGTATATTACTTAAGCTATTGTTTACAATAGTTTAGTTTTAACAACAGCGATGATTTTTAAAACACAAGGCAATTGAGTGCTTCCCCGCCATAAAAACGGATCCCGTAAATGACAGACGAGTTTGTTATTGTAACATTACAGTCCATTACGTCGCTGCGGGTGTTAATGATTGCCGTGAGTTAGCTGTTAGCTGTTTACTTGTGGGTTATTTAATGATAGATGTTTGCCTTTAGGTGGAGGACACTGGGATCTACACCTGCGTCATTTCAAATGCAAATGGAGAGACTTCCTGGAACACCTTCTTGGAGGTCAAAGGTAACTTTCTGTCAGAGCAGCAGCTACTGTGCTCTTAATTACAGTCACAACGATCGGAAAGCGATTTTTACTAAATCATAAAAAAATGTGATTAGGATAAGGTACTTTCAAATTTACATGGTGTGATTTGAACACGCGGTAATGTTACGACACTGCATATGATGCCATGAGTAAAATGTGATGGACAGATTAATTGCGTAATCATTAGTTACCGCACTGAGGTCATCAACTCGCCACACTTGAAAGCAGGTTTCATTCCGAGCGGCTGGCATCTCAGAGGCGCTCGCTGAGCGATCAGACATGGTATTGGCCCCTAAAACAATCAGCCATGTCGCGTAAATGTTGTTGCTGTTGTATTTTTGGAGTTTGCTTGGCCTCTCTCTCCCCTCGGTCGCGTGGATTTTTCCTCCGGGTCCTCCGTTTTTTTGCCTCCACATTTGGAAACACGCGTTTCGCTAATTTTGCTGCTTTAGTTTTTCCACGTGATAAGCCACTTTGTTGAGCTATCATTTGTGGCCGGGCCGCTTCAAAGAAATAAGTTAATACCTCAGTGGGCTTTACCCGGTAAGACCAAAAATAATGTAGTTTTATTTGTATATTTTTAAGTTAATTGTTTACCTCTCCTATACTGTGCACTCCTATCGTGTTTTTTGCACTGTTTGTTGTTGTGACGTTCTGACCCGCTGCTACTGGACATCTGTGAAGAAGAGCAGTTGTAGCCCATCGGATTCCTCCAGGACAAATAAATATTCCGATTCTGTTGTTGCGGCCGCAGAGGGCAAGCGGTACACGGAGATGAACGCGGCGCTGGCCCCGCGCGGCCCCTCGCGTCCCGAGATTGTGGAGGTGAGCCGCAACACCGTGACGTTGTCGTGGAAACGGGACACGCTGCAGCCCGCCACGTCCTACATCATCGAAGCTTTCAGGTGAGTGGGCACCAGCACCCTGCATGCAGCACGCTCATATACCACCTAGCACTCTCACACAGCACCCTGCATATAACACCCGCACACTAACACCCAGCATTTAGCACCCTGTACACTAATACCAGCATACAGCACCCTGCACACAGCGTTGGTGTACGGTGCTTTTTCAGGAATATTTTGCTGTTTTTTTCCTGGATTTTCTGTTTGCACAGTCACTGTCACTTTAAGATGTTTTCTTGTTCATGTTTTTGTTTGTTTGCGGTTGCACCCGATTCAAGAGCCGAATGGCTCACAGGGCTATACCAATTAAATTAAACTGAAAACTGAAACTGAAACCCTGAACCTGATCACCGTTAGTGGTCACGATGCAAGGCTGGGAAGGGTAGTCCAGTACTCTTGGGTAATTTTAGGCCAGTTGTAACTAGCGATGGCCACCGCAGAATTTTTTAGATTTAAAAACAAATTTCGTTGCCCATACCCGGACATATTTAATCACTGCTCCCTCTGGTGGGCACATGGGATGGCATCACCCAATTGCAGGCAGGGGTCACATGACTACCCGAGGTTGTGTGCTACAGTGACCAATCGCTGGTCAGCATAGAAAGTGTTCTACAAACTGTTTGCTTTGACCAGAACGAACTTCGCCAATCTTAGTCAATCTCTTGCCGGTGACCATTGACATTGGCGATTGCTATAAAATTGCGCGAGAATTATCTTAGTCCATTATGGTGTGACGCCAATGACGGTGGTGTAACTATTGAGTGAACCGGTGATACAATGGCACCCACGGGCTACAGGAGCCCCAGGCACCACGTTATGAATAGAGGAGAAATTGGAATGGTGGTGGCACCATATCTTTCCCTGCACCGCCAGGGCCCGTGCCAGCAATGCCATGCCTCTTGTGAAATTTTTGAAGTGTTTGTGCAGCATTCAGAGGAGGAGACTGGTGTAAGGCACCAATAATGTATGTATGTATGTTAAACTTCTTTCGCACTCTACGTAGCCAACTGTGTTAATTGGAGGTGTGGGTGAAGGACGACAAAAAAAAAATTCCGTCGCGTTGCGGTGAAGTTGGTCTCTGACCGGACGTCTGTGTGAATGCACCTGTCCATGTGCAGCCGCTCGCTGGGGAAGGGCTGGAAGATCGTGGCGGAAGGCGTACGCTCGGAGACTTTCACTGTGCGCAGCTTGCGCCAGGGCGCCATCTTTGTGTTCCTGGTGCGAGCTGTAAATCTGCATGGCGCCAGCGAGCCGAGCGCCGTCTCGGAGCCCGTGCGCACAGAAGGTGATGATTATGATGATGATGATGACTTAGTACATTCTTACAGCACAAGGCTTTCATGCAGGTGCTTTCAAATGACTCGGTTGCGATTATACGCAGCAATCATCGCCCCCCCCCCGACTGGCAGATGAATGCCCCAGGTCACCCTCGCAAATTAGACTATCGTGTTCTCTAGAACTTTCAACGTGGTTAAACAAAATGAACTTTAAAAACTTCAGTAAGGGTTGATGTTGCTGCTTGTTTTTTACCCGATTTAAGTAATTTACGAGTTATCCTTCAATTTGTAAAATTTGGACTGTGACGCAGGTAACACGCGTGGCCCTTCTCTTTTGCGAACGATGTCACGGGATCTTCAGCATCCACTGTTAAGCGAGACGGCGCTCATTCATGGTTAATCCACGGGCATCGTTAACCAGGGTGGCCACGGGGGCTCACGCTGTGAATGTCTGGAATAAGCGATGAACCGTTTAAATTTTGATTTAAAGCTTTCGTGACTGCAGGGATTCATATTCTTGGTTCTTTCGGTAAAGTCACGTAGAAGGGAAACAAAATAATAAAATAAGTATATAAAACAATTGTCATAGATATTTAATTATTTTGTTGTTTCCCTTCTACGTGACTTTACCGAAAGAACCAAGAAGATGAAGCGTTTGTCGCGTCGCTGTCGGCCGTGCTCGGCATCGATCGTGGCATTCTTAGGTACAAAAAAAAAATAACATTCTTGCAAATAACTCCTTAGGACAGAAAGCCTCCAGGATTCGTAGACCACATTTGCTCATGCTAACGGAGAAAAAAAAAAAACTAAACAAAAACGCTTTCATTACTCCTGGCAAAATGGCCAAGAAAGTATGGTGCACCATCGTTACCCATTCCATCCAATCTGATTGTTTTTACCTGTTTGTGCTTGCCTGTGATGAGAAACAACTGCTACGCGTTCTCGTCAACATAATCATAGTCATTATTCTCGACATTGCATTCCTCTTTTTCTCTTTTTAAACAATTTCCTCCAGCATTGTCCCCACTTTGGTTGGCCGCTGGCTCTCTCTCCGCAAACCGTAACTCTGTTTCACGTCACAATTCCAATCTCTTTCCACAGCTCCGCACATGTGTTTGCTATTGTTTTCATGAATTCCTTCCTGGCCGCGTTATGGGGTCGGGAACTCTGCGCTCATTTTTCACTGTTTTGTCTCAAACTGTGCCCTCATCATCCCGTGGCCGTGCGCGTTTATCAACGGTCACCTGATCCTCCCCCTGTCTCCTTGTCGCTCTCGCTCCATTCTGTTCCCACCTGCCATTCCCACCGGGTTGAACCCTGCGCACGCCCACCCCATCGGTGATGACTCCTCAATCCTTGTCTCATTGCTTTTCATCACTCGGCCGCCCCAATGTGTTTCCCAAACACTTCTGTCATGAAATGTGTTGTGTCCGATCCTGTTACATCTCTACTGTCCCTTTATTTTGACAAATAAAGGATGAATTACTTTTTTTTTCTCTCACCAACCCACTATTTATTTTCGATGCTGAGCCACCGACGGCGACGTTTTGAAAGCACAAAATTGAAACCCATCTTCTACAACGGCATCCGGTTTCGCCCCTCAAAAAAAATATATGGCCATGAGTTGGACTCCTTCAGTCCCCCTGATTCTCTAGCCCATGTGGCACGTGCTCTCATGCAGGCCCGCAGCACAAATACGGTTCAGACACGACCCCTGACTCGACACAATTTTTGTGTCCGATTGCATCTTGACTTTTCTTGCTTGAAGCTGGCTGCAGCTCACAGATGCATGCAAAACAAGCCTACGGGCTCCTTTAGTCGTGAAATGCATAAGAGAGCTTCAATTCCATGTAAAATTGACCTTAACATGCAATTTGTGCCCACTTTGAATCAAATTTCAGCTTCAAGGGTACGCTTTTTCAGCTTTGTAGTGTTGCTTGTAGGCCCATACTACTTGAGTTTAATAGCTGGTGCTTGCCTTGAAATAATTCCACATCATTGCACGAACATTATAGCTTAATCTGCGTGCAATTGCAGCTAATTTGTTGACTCCCTGATCATTTTTATTATTTGCATATGGGTTCGGTGTAGAAATGTGATCTGGATAATTCTGTGGACTATTTGGAATGTCCACGTCCGTTAACGCATGAGTCAGTAGTTCGCGACAGTAGCGCTCTTTTTGTCAGAATCATCATCATCATCATCAGCGGTGCCTTAAACGTTTAGGTTGTGGGTACCACAAGTGATTATTTGGCAATTGGCTCTCTCCATATTCTTGGTTCTTTTGGTAAAGTCACGTAAATAGAAAAAAGAAAAAAAAGAAAAAAATTCAATTTAAATTAAAATAATACAAATAAATTAAAAAAATAAATGTAAAAAATGAAAGCAAAAAACCCACAATAAAAATAAAAAATTAAAATAGTAACATTTTAATAAAAAATTGAAGTGAATTGAAAATAATAAAAGCAAAAAACCCACGACGTTTCGATCGCAACACAAGCGGTCTTCATCAGGCGGGGAGAAAAGAGGGGGCAAGCCTCCAAATGTAGCTGCTTATGGCTCTCTCCACCTCCACTGGGGCCTCCAGGATGGTGGTGGAAAATTCTTTCTGGTTTCAGGGTAACGCGGCAAACCATCGCAGCCTCCACCTTTGTTATTGCCAAGGCTGTTTGTGCACTAAAAACCTTTTAATCACCACTCATTACATAAATTCAAGGTACTGTTCGGAACAAGAAAGCAGATTTCCAGTGGAGGGGGGCATTCAGCCAATCAAGTATGAGTATATTTCTGATCACCACATGACGGGAGTTGGTCGGTGTCACTGCTTTCATTCTATTTAGTTTCAAGACACATTTGGATGATACATACGTACGTATGCTGAACTTCTTTCACGATGTACGAAGCTAACCATGCTCATCGGAGATGCAGGGGAAGGATGACAAACTAAACATAAAAAGCACTTTTCAAAGAAATTACTTTTCACTTCTCAGAAAACTGACCGCAAGATCACTTCTGTAAACAACTGACTATTGTGAGACGTGGGCACGAGTGGGAACACACGGTATAGAGCTCGTCAAGCCAGCGGTTAGCCTCGATCAGCGAACGTCGGCGTGTCGGCCGCACGCAGACCCATCACCGGCGGAGCCTGGCCTGGACTCGGCGCTGATCCAGAAGGAGCTGGGCCGCATTTCCATTCGCCTGCAGGACCCCGTCACCCTCAGCTCCACTGCCCTGCGCCTGCACTGGACGGTACGAGCGTTTCGGAGAGACAGAGAGTACCGTTGTACTTCGTGATGCTGCTGCCGCTATAAGGAGTTTGAATGTCTCTCACTCTCCCCATGGTTGTGTGGGCTTTTCTGCGGGACCTCCAGTTTTTCCTTTCACGTTTTGAATCAAAACAGCATTGAGAGTATTTTGGCTGCTATGAATTTCCTTGGCAAGCACTGTTCTTGAATTTCCACATGGTAAGCCACGTGGTAAAATTTCCACGTGGTAAGTCACTTCGTTGAGCTATCATTTGTGGCCAGGTCGCTTCTAAAAAAGAGCTATATAGCTCAGTAGGCCTTACCTGGTAAAGTAAAAAGTTTAGTTTATCAGTCGAATAAAGGGGAAAAAAAAACTATTAATAACCAACTAGCTTTCAGCATTAGCACCAGGGTTAAAGGTCAGGGCGAAGGAGATAGAGTTAAAGGTTTCAGGTCAGGATTAGGGTTACCTGAGTTAATAGTTGACTTATAGTTGGCTATCGCGGACAATGATATTATGCTTTGGAGCAATCCACCTTTGCACTAAGCTTGTTCCTTTGTTTACAAGGGGCAATCTGTAGGCTTTGACAAGTGACGTTTGAACATTTTTGTTGTCGTGACCTGAGGTGAGACCCAATTTAGTGTCCTTCATGTAGGCGCTTTATCATGCAGGTGGTTTGTCCGATTGCTGAAAGGAGTTAACATTTTAAACACTTGGAAAATTGGCCTCTGACTAAAGAATCACAGTGACGCAGCCGGGTGGTGCGGTGGTTGCGCACGCCTGTAACCCAGCACTGTGGTAGGCAGCGAGAGTTGGTGGGATCGCACAAATGTTGTTTTTTTTCTTTTCTTTGAACCTATCTATGTGACTTTACCGAAAGACCCCATAATATGTTGTGAAACTCCTTTTTTGCTGCGTGTCGAGGTGCTATAGCCTGGCTCGCCACAAGAAGGCAGTACAGCAAGTGGAGTAATCGCCATCCGTTTCCATCTGTACGTGGATAGAGTGTTGCCCCCTCGCACAAGAAATGGGTTTTCTGCGGGTGCTCCGGATTCCTTCCTCACTTTTACAAGCATTTATTAACATGTTAAAATAAAAAAACCTAATGCAGGACTCTATTATAATATTATAATAACTTTGATTTACAAGGCCATATCTTGGTGATGATGCTCAGCGAGTTCAAATGAGTACAAGGTTTTCTTTATGTTGATAAATGCTGCTGGAAAGAATGTTTCTTTGTGACTGCCATCAAATCTGTGAATTATGAGTAAAACTCTATCTCAACACAAAAATGTTGCATCTTGAATGATATCTTCAGATGAAATAACGTTTCCCTTTAGCGATCAAGCATACACTCGAAATAATGTATTTAATTATAGGTACGTTGCTGTAATGAGCTGTAACGATGAAAATTTAAGAGTCTTAAGTCTACACGTGCTGTCAACTATCCTGTTTTAAGCTGCATTGGCTGCTCCACGTAGTATTTTTATTCACATCCTCACTGTTGCGGAATGGCGATCCTCACATTTGACTAGAATGAAACATGTGAGGCATTTTTAACGAAAAGCAAATTCACGGGACACATTTACATTGTTATAATATTAAACTGCCCACCGACGTCCGGCTGAGGTGCTGCGATTATTTACGTTCGTCGGCCATTGTAAAGCTGTATTATTTTTTTCGTTACGGCCGCTCATTTTACTCGAAGGACAATGCTATAATTAACGTGCGCTTCTTTTTGAAACCGTGAAGGTTCGAAGGAGGTGGAATTGGATGCGAGCGGGGAAAAAAAAATGCCATTTAAATCTAATTCTGCCCACAATTAATTTCCCTGTCGCCCGGCGAGGCGGTGCCAGCCCGTTTCCCACGCAGCCCACGCCGCGCCTCAGGTGCTGCCCGCCCCGCTGTAGTATGCAAAGGTTAAAGCGTGCGTAATCCGTCAGACCGTCTCGCCTTGTTCCTCCCGCTACCTCCCTGCGTCGGTGCTACTGAGCCTGCCCGGTGCTGCGGTTGTTTCCCCAAGTCCCATTGTGTCTCTCTCGTGTCTCCCTGGGGGTCTCATTGCCTCACCACAGCTCCCCGTGTCTCCCCGCGTCTCGGTGTCTCTCCGTGTCTTTCCATGTCTCCCCGTTCCTCTGTGTCGAAGTCATCTCCCCGTGTCTCCCAATGCCTCTCCGCATCTCGCTGCTCCAGGCATTGTGACGGTGCTCACCATGCCCATGTCCCCATGTGTCCCCATGTGTCTCCGTGTGTCTCTCCGCGTCGCTGCCACACCTCCAATTAGCAAGGTGGGCTGCATGCGGTCTGAAAGAAGTTCAAGAAAGAAGTTCAACATACGTACACATCCATACATCCCCTACTACAGCCTCCCTTCACGCTGCGCCCCTGCTCTCCCGGACATCCCCTCCCAAATTCTGAATCAGTCTTCCCTGCCGCCTCCCCCCACCCACCTGCATCATGCGTGGTCGATGCAAGGAATGAAATGGGATTCCCCCCCCTCCCCAAACCCCGCTCGCTTTACCCCTTATTCGTAAGCCCGGCACTTGGGCTTCTTTGGCCCATGGGCCCTGGGGTGCAGTTGCACGGCCTGCACGCTCAATAGCTATGCCCCCCCTCCCCCTCCTGCTTAGCCTTCATCCTGTCCGCCTCGCTTGCACCCCCCCCCACAGGTGATGCAGCGGCCGCTCTACCTGCAAGGCTTCCGCGTGCTCTACCGGCCACTGCCGTCGAGCCGTCCGGCGTCGGGAAACTGGTCGGTGCTGGAGGTGCGCTCGCCGCTGGAGCACGGTGCCGTGCTCAGCCGCCTGCGCAAGGGCTTCTCGTACGAGGCCAAAGTCAGGGCCTTCTTCAACGGCTTCCAGGGCCCCGACAGCGAGGCGCGACGCGGCTCCACGTTCGAGGAAGGTGCGTCGCGTCGCGCGCTTTGGCCTGCGCCCGGCGCCGGGCCTGCTTTTGCGTAGATTTGTGAGCTTTGCTTTTGAAGCTTGGGTCGAAAGTGTTAGCTGTGAACACAGTTTTGACGATTGGCTGTGTGTTTTTTTTTATTGTGTTCATGTTTTCAATTCGAGAAATACACGAAACTCAGAAGAAGCAGGGTGTATGACGTTCGAATGATGGACATAGACGTTTATAACCGTAGGCACGCCCCTTGTTCATGTAGAAAAGATAGAGATTTTATTTATTTCAGCAGGGGGCCTCATACGCTGTTAGCCTCTACAGATGCTGTACAGCACAGATCTTAGCTACGATCGTGGTTACATAGGTCGTGATGCAAACGGCAAGTGTCTGGTAGTTGTGATCTGGAAAACAATGGAGGGGGATGAGTGAAAGGAAAGAGAGAGGAAGAAGGACAGAATAAAGAATGGAAAAGAGAAGAGTGATGGGCAGTAAGTAGACAATAGGGTGAGAGGGTCGGGCCAGAAATGAGTCAACAAAAGGCCATGTTTTGTTTGTAGAATAATGTTCTGTGTTCTTGAAGTGCTTATTGAGCATCTTAAGACTGTTCCAGGCGCATTCTCTGTATCTATTTTTGGACGACGATTTTCAGTATCCTTTTGAAAAACATCATTCGTGTTTTCTAAGTTTTGCAAACCAAATTGAAAAATGCTATTTAAAGAGCCCTTAAATGTTGTGAATGGAAAACTTATTTCTTATGAAGAATGCAAAGCGTCTCAACTTAAAATGTAATCGGTTATTTTTTCTGCAAAGCTAAGAGCGCCCAAGGGCTGCAATTTGTATTTTGTCATCTGCGCCATTCTTTAACCTTTTGTTTGTTTCGTGACAAAGAAAATACCAGTGTTTTCTGAGTTCCAAACAGACCTGCGTTTCTACACGCAACCACTTTTGTGTGTTTTCACTTTATTTGCTTTTTATGTATTTAACTCTTTCTTTTTCAGTATTTCTAACTTTACAATTTTGCATCATGGGCTACCGTAAACTTCTTCAGGGCTCGTTAATTCCCTGTGCGCTTCCAATCTCATGAAACTGCTTTACAAGTTGTGCAAAGTGCTCTTGGGTCTAGCCAGACTGGCCTGCACAGTACACATTCAGCAGTCAGTGATTTCGATGTTGCTCTTATTATAATTGTTTCAAATGCAAAATCGTTCCCATGACCAACGTGCACTTTTGGCTGGTGCTCTTTTTAATGTCAGCAGTTCTGAGCCCTTGGCGAAACTGGCAGTAACACTGGATCCATTGCTCAGCAACCTCAAGTGAAATTTGCCTTGGATTTTTCTTCCACCTCATCAGCACACCTCCAGCCTTTTCGTCATTCCGCCCCTGGATGAGGGTCCTCCCAGCACCGTGCGGGTCGTGGGGCTTATCTGACCATATTTCACCATGCTAGTCAGTGTGGGTTGGTGAAGGCTTTCATGCGATTTGTGTACAAACAATGTTTTACTTCTGTAAAGTCATTTGATTTTGCCTTTTCACCCAAGTTTTGCCAATTCTAATATTTAATCCTTGATTTAACTGTTGTGCAATTTTCTTTGCATTTCTGTACAGTGTTCGCTCCTGTAACCCTGGTCTCTCTTGAAAAGGAGACTAGTTGTCTCATTTTGGTATGGCCCTTTTCTCAATCCACTGCTGGGTGAGGGCCTTAATTCCCATGCCGTGCAGGTTGTCGGGGTTATTTGACCGTACTTCACACATTTGTCAGGGTGGATTGGTATAGGTGGAAAAGATAGATGTTTGAGCACTGTTCTGCAGCGACTGACTCGCCCTCTGCTGGCAACGTGACTCTCCAGCAGCCTGCAACACCCGTTCATAAATGCTTGGTGGTCGCCCGTACAAGCGATATTCAGATCCTTTCTGGGTGATTTGGTCATGGGCTTTCACCTCCTTGAAAATAATAATAATAATAAAATATAATTTGGATTCACAAGGCGGCCCTCAAACAATGGATCTCAGAGCGCCGTGCATGTAAAGGAGGAAAATGAACAAGATACAACAACCGTGGAGAGAGACTAAAGAGGCTAAAGAGACAAGATAGATAACTTGAGAGAGGGAGAGAGGCCTTGTCTAATAGGTGGATCTTTACGGTTTGTCTGCCTGACGTGTTTCTACGGTGCAGACAACATGTCTGCAATACAACGCTACTGCTGGCTTATTTTCAAGTACTGCAGCCTGACCAGGTGGAGCCCATTATAACCAACTCCTGTAAGGGATAATGATGATGATTATGATGGGGCTGAGTTGACCTTAGCCAGGATTTGAACCCACAATGTTCATTAGTTGGGACCCCTGCTGATGTGTGAATCAAGTTATATTCTAGCCACTTGTTACAATTAATGGGTGAGAATAATTTTATTTTTAAGATTACAAAAAAATTGTGCAGTTGACAAGTGTTTAACGTGACAACACATCCGCGGCCTTTGGCGATGTAAAATGTTAATTTCCGGAGGTCTTTGCACTGAGCATAGTGGCTGCTTGACAGTGCAGCTGTCCTGGCAGTCGTGGTGGTGCTCGTCTGCTGGAGTAAAATGGGGTCATTTAAAAAAAAAGCATGAAAACAATTTTAATTGGCACGTAGTTGGATTGAGATAAGACAAGCTTGTATTTTATCGGTAATTTGAGAACAATTTAATGGCTCATTTATCGAGAGCTGCTGGGCTAAAATTACACGACTTTCATGTTTCTTTCATGGACACCACCCGTTGGTACTGTACTGGATGGAACATTCTTTAATCTGAAAAGGGTGTGCAAGATAATTAATTGGCAAATGATGCTGTGCATTTGGTACATCAAACTCCATTATGTATATATATATTTCCTCATTTTACACAATGTCTTCTTACAGTAACACTGCATGACAATCAAGGGACAGGATGGAACGCTACACTTATTGAATTCCTATGACCTCAAGACAGCAAACCCAAAATTGCTGCTATGCAGCCCATTATCACGTTTCCTCTACTTTTCCATTTTACCAGCAAGAACTACACTGCAATCTTACAGCAGTGCCCAACAAGTGCTGTGGTCTGCCACTTAAAACATCAGAGATAGGCTGGTCCACGGCATGTTACAGAGATAAGCAAGTTATTTTTTTGGAACAGCAACAAATGTTATAAATTGATGTCGGGGTTCTTTAGCCATTTAACGGCGCTGCCTGCGAGCTGGTAAATTGCTTTGGTGTCACTGTTCACTGGTCTTAATGGGCAGTCTGCAGTTGACCATGTGCTCCACTGTTTGTTCCAATTTAGGTGAAAAAAAAGCAATGTTTTACAATCCCTCTCGCTTATCTCCGAGCCAACTTTTCTGAGCCTTCAGGTTTTGACGGATTTTGGAAGCGGAGTTGAGTCGTGATGCCCGACCTCGGTTTTGTCCCCTGCCCTGTTTTGCTCGCAGCTCCAAGCGCGTCGCCGCAACACGTAGAAGTGAAGCGGTGCGAGGAGCCGGGCTGCGACAGTATCACCGTCACCTGGCAGCCACCGCAGGAGGAGCTGCAAAACGGAGTGATTCTAGAATACAAGGTAAGCTATGGATGGGGATGCGGGCGTTTGAGTGAGCTGACGCCATTGGAATAGCCGGGAAGTGCCCCGAGGGTTCTGAACGTCGGAAGCGAATGTGCACGGTGGATCAGCAGAATTGACAAGCAGGTAAGGCCCAGTGAGCTACGCAGCTCTTTTTCAGAAGCAACCTGGCCACAAATGATTGCTCAACAAAGTGGCTTATCACGTGGAAATTCATAGCCATATACACGAAGCACATGATTCTAAATGTGGAGGAAAAAACTGCAGGACCCGGAGAAAATCCACGAGACCACGGGGAGAACGTGAAAACTCTAAATATACAGGTGTTAGGGTCGGGATCGAACCCACAATCTCCTGTATACTAGACGAGGTAGTTAACATCTTGTAGATAACGGGGATACATTGGTGTGGTGTTTGGTTGCTGGTCGACCTCCCATTGCTCTCCCGAGTGCTTGTGGTGCATCTGGATACTGGGGGCTCATTGTCCTTTGTTTTTATGTTGTAATTACACACGATCCCACTGCCTTCTTATGGGTGCCATAGGCAAACATTTTTTTTTTTAGAAAGTGTAAATAAATATTCCAATAAAATGATGGAATTGCCAAACAAAGTAGGCTCACTCGCTCAGAATATCCGCGGGGGCCTTTGCTGCGCCTCTGCTAAATTAATGCTTGAGCCCAGCATTAACGTTTGGCTTGTTAAGAAGTTGAAATAACCGCTCGAGTTTTAATTGCAATTTGAGAGGTGATCTGCTATTTTGATCACCGTGCCCCCCCCCCCCCTCCTTCCAAGCAGAGGGAGCCAAATCAACGAAGCGCAAGGTTAATGAATGATGTAGGCGATCAGTAAGTCGCCTCTTGACAGCCGCCCCTCCCTCGCGCATCGCTTCTCCCCCCCCCCCTCGCCGCCACCTAAATTCTTTGTCTAATCTTACAAAACATTCCCCAGGGATTAGAGTAGCCCTCAAATTCCCCATTGAGTTAACCCCCATTTTTTTTGCCTCGCCTAAACTGTACGTCTAATCCCACCAATGCTACCAGCGTAATTGGAATTTGAGAGGTGATTCGCAGGTGATATGTAATTTTGTAAGCAAGCCTAGCTATCGTGTTTCACTTAATGCTTGGAATTAAGATAGATTGTTTGAATTAAATGTTCGTATTTATTTATTTATTCGCAATACATTTTTTTTTTACAGTTGATGGAGATTAAAGGAGACTAACGTCAACTTGCGCGATAAGATTTGATCCCTATCCACAGCTCGTGGCACCAGACGAGACGCACGGGGGAGAGTTATGTTGTTGCCATTATGATCGGCGCAATTCCTGCCGATCAGAGTTCTATTCCCGGGCCTGGCCAACATCAGTGGTGAATTATCTGAAATAGTCCTGGGACTACCGTCGATTGACTGAGTCTTAAATGAGCACCTGTTGTAGTCTGTGAGTATCAGCACTGGGGAGTCAAAGGCAGCTCAGCATGGTGCTGGCCACAGAGCTCCCTTGTGCGCTGTGCTGGCCTTAATGAGCGCTCGCTAACGCCACTACTTTCTCCCAACAATCCGTGTTTGCTGCACACGGTTCTTTGTTTTGTTTTTAAGCGTACGTGTGTATGTGATTCACGGCATTGGCGCGACGTTTGGGGCACGGTGCCACAATCCTGCTCATCCGTTTTCAGTTACACAGCCTCGCATATTCGTGCGCGGCCACATTCTTCAGCGACGGAGATGCCGCGCGCCGACGCCACACAGCCCCCTAGTGTGCTGGAATAGGTGTTCACGAGTGACACTTGACCCCCCAAAGTCCTCGGGAACTAACACCGGTGTGTGTGTGTCAGGCACAAAGGTGTGTTGTGTGTCTTAATCCATGGGGAACAGTGGCTTCACGGTTAGAGCACTGATCCCGGCAGCGATTCCTGGCTCCGATGTACGATGTGAGAATACGGTTCGTGTCTGAGCCGCAAGCAGCCTTCCATGAGGTTGACTCAGCATAAAATGAGTACTTGTCATAGTGGTGTGATCAAGAACCATCACCATTAGAATGAGAAAGGCAACTCGACGTGGTATTCATAGAACAGCCACTTCATGTGCCGTGCCAACCTTAATGGGTGCTCGCTCACCAAATATGCCCCCAATATTTAATTAAGCTTAACAGTGGGCGATTTTAAAACCTGGAAGCTATTTGGTGCAGTCTCATTATTCGGGTCACAATTCCATTCCATATTCAATTATTTTATTCATCTTGAGTTTACCATCTCTCTTGCATTGTTTCTTATTTATTTTGTCTCATTTGAACGTTTTTGTTTGTGTTGCTTCATTTTGCCGAAAATAAGCAACGGCGTAAAAAAATCAATGAATTGTAAATAACTGATTCGCACGCACGCGGTTTTTATTCATGCATCCTGAGTGAAAGAGTTATTTAAAAATTGTTGCATTGACGCGCGGCTACATGCCTGCTAACCAGGAGACCCTCGTCGTCTGTGTGTGCCACTGTCCACGTGCGTGCGTGCGTGCGTGCGTGCGTGTGCGTGCGTGCAGCTGTGGTGCATGGGTAACAGCAGCGAGCTGCACATCAACCGCACGGTGGAGGCGTCGTCCCGCTCGGCAGTGCTGCGCCCGATCGTCCCGGGGGTCATGTACCGCATCACCGTCGCCGCCGTCAACTCGGCCGGCACGGGGCTGCGCTCGCCGTTCACCGTCCTCGGTACGCGGCGCCAGCTGAATTAAGCTTCGATTAGCCGTACGAGTCGTGAGGCCACCCATATACTTTTTATTTTTTCACCAGCACATCGGGTGGCGGCCAGTGCGGTTAATTGCATGATCGATTGTTTTTGCTGGCAATTCAAATTAAAGCGATTGACCGCACCTGACGACGTGGGTGCTCCGAAAAACCCTGAGCCCGGTTTATTTTGATAATGAGAGTGGGGTTTAATTTATCCTTTTAAACGGTGCGCTCTCAACTCCCTATCCCTGCCACACTCCCTCCTCCTCCGACTACTAAAACTAGCGAGGAACAACAAATAACTCGAACGCACCACCACACACGAAGAGAAGGGGTTTTTTGGATAATATATCGAAAATGAAAAAAAGCACCACTCTAAATTCCTGCACATTTTTCCCCCAGCCCGCGCCGTCGGTGTGATTGATGCAATCTGTGTTTGAAGCAGAGCGAGGTATTCTCCGCCTTATTAATTGTTGATTTATCCTCGCGTTTGTTTATCATTAATGTGTCGGCGGGGATGTGGGTTGGGGGGTGGCGAACTTATTCTGTGCGTTCACCCGTACGACAAAATGACCCGGCGAGAAGAGGTGGCGCCGCTCTCGCCGGGGTCCCACGGGCGGAAGATGCATCGCCTTGTCCCCAAAGGGCGATCGGCTCGGAGACCCCGGGATGTATGTGAAGAATGCAAATGTCGGGTGTCAAGTTTTGCTGTGAATCCACCGGGGATTTATAGTGACCTCCTCGGGCATATGTATAACAGTTAAGCGCTGATGGTTTACACTGGGGAGACATTACTTACCGGGCGGCGTACACACGCAACAAAAAAAACCACCCCCAAAGTGACTACGAGGAGGTCCTGAGCCGCGGAGCAGCGCCGGGTTAAATCGTGTCACTTCCTGGCCAGACATCTCCCGCGCAGGGGTCCGCTCAAGGGGCGAAGGGCAGATATATCAGCCCTCCGATGATGTTTTCCAACGTGTCATCCATTTGCCTTTTGAATCGTCCCAGATCTCTCCAAACAACGGAGGGGATGAGCGGGGTCGAAGGGAGACAGTAGGGGGTGGGAAGGGGGGGGATCGTGGGTTGTTATTTTTTGGCAGCCGTACCATTGCGACGACGGGGGGGGGGGGGGGGGGGATGGTGCCCCCCGGTGTAATGATTATCGCGCTGATTTGCGATCCAGAGGTTGTGGGGGTTCGATTCCCCCTCGCGGTGCGGCGGTCGAAACAATGGCAGGTCGCATGTGTTGGGGTAAAGTGTAGGTGTTCCCGCCTCTTACCAAGACATCTGGGCAGCTTGGAAAATTTAGGCCAAAATACCCTCCCAGTGGGCTTCTTAGAGCTCCCTCTAGTGGAGGCCCTTCCGCTAGCAGTGGCGTATGCGGGCAATAGCAGGGCCTGCGCATTTTCTTCTTCACCGTTTGCGGAGACGTGCCGGCATGGGCCCCGCTGGGCCATGCCGGCGCGTCTCCGCTGGGCCATGCCGGCGCTGGTTTCTTTGCCCGACGGGCGTGCCCGGGAAGAGCGAGCGGGGTAATGGGTGCCACATGTGTGGGCCGTGCGTGCGTGTGCGCGCGGGCCGTGTGCGTGCACAGCGCGCGAATCGCGCGGACAGCGGAGATTTTCTCTGCGAAAATAAACGGGGCCGCTCGGGACGGCCCAACGCAAACAGGCGCCAAAGCTGCGAGGGCAGCGAGGGCGTCGCGCAGCGGTGGGCTGCAGAGCTGGGGTTGGGGATTTCTCAGCAGGTAGAGGCCAGGGCCCTGGCTGTTTTGCTTCCTCGCACTTCCAGCGGGCCTCAACATGTGCCGGCCCGCCTAGGTCCCAGCCGACTCCCGCGCGCTGTCACGTAAAAAAAAATTGCAATGCGCTGGGATCTGTCAGCGGAGAGGCCTGAACCCTGCGCCTAGGAACTCATTGGATTTTAGTTGGGGTTGAGGTTGGGGTCGGGGGTTGGCAGATGAGGGAGTGAGGAAGCGTCTGTGATTTAGCTGTGAAGGTTACACACGTGCATATACACTATAAATATACTGGCGTTTTCATTACGCACTTGCGTGGGGCTTTCGATATGCCGCGGCGTATTTTGATTAGGGATCGCGTTATCTTTCACGCTCTCCCATCGGATATAAACTGCGTATATTCACACAAGGGTTAATTTGTACACAGTGCGCGCGCGTGTCACCGGGGATGCTACGATTTACGGCCGTGACATTATCATCGACGTTTCATCCGGAATCGCTGTGGGCTCAAAATTCACCGGGAATGAGAACGCGGCACGCCGTGGGCGGTGCGGAATGGCGATGGCATCGGCGGGTCACAGTCGCTTGTCTGGCCGCGTCCGCATTTTCCTTTTCCTGCACCGTCACGTCCGCACGGGCAGGACGTTTTCTGCGCGACGCGCGTATGGCGGCTGAGCGACTGATAATTGAAATATGCAAACCGGGTAGGTAAGTAGAAGAGGAATGAAGTCTGGTTGATGAGAAACGCAAATACTCTCCAATTACATCTTCAGCTGTCGTTCTTTGCGTAACAAATTCACAAAATACTAAGATTTCAGGTAATGACCTTCGTTGAAAAGTGCTATTCTGCTCATTTGCACAGGTGGACAGTACAGTAAAACCTTGGATTGCGAGTAACTTGGTCTGCGAGTGTTTTGCAAGACGAGCAAAAATGTTAAATAAATATTAATTTGATAAACGAGCGAGGTCTTGCAATACGAGTAGTGTACGTATATGCTTTGTCTGCCGAGCGTCACGTGATCACAACTGATATACGAGTGCTTTGGATTACAAGCACGTTTCCGGAACGAATTATGCTCGCAATCCAAAGTTTTACTGTACTGTGGAAAGTCCGCATTCCTATGGCAAGGATGAGTCTTTCTATAACACCACCACCACCACTGTTGACTTCCTCCGCCCCCACCCCACTAAGCGGCAATAATTGTATCAAGCAGAGACGAATGGAGGGCTGAGTCAACCCCTGCTGACCTGGATTTGTACTCATAAGTGTGCAATTGTAAGCCATGTTTTCTACAGCTGCGCCGCTCGGCCCGCTCTCGCTCAAGGTTAATTCTTAAATTATTAGCTTCTGTATTCTGCTAAGACAGCGGCAGCTGTGAAGGAGGTGGTGAGCGGCGGTCGGGTGACCTGGCTCTGAGCGCGATTGCCATGCAGCCGTGTGGTGGTGCTGCTGCAGGGGACATTGTCAGAGCAGCTCCCGTGTGATGTGAAGCGATCACCAAAGACCGCCACACGTCAATCGTAGTAGCGGGCTATTGTTTGCCAATGTCACGTCCAAAATGCCAATTCTGAAAATTATCCGTATCTGAATTAACAACAAAAATCCCTCTTCTTCCTTTGTATGGCCATGCTGGTTCCCACCTGGAGGTAAAAAAAAAGAGCAAACATTTATTTCAACTCTTCGGTCTTTCCGTCACAAAGGGAGGTAATTGTATCTGAATGGGACCTCACCTGTCTCGCGAAATGAAAGGACTGACGGACTGAAAGACGGTCGACAGCGGGACTGTGATCACGGAGAGGGCCTTGTTGTTTGAGTGACAACGAGCGAGAGGTGGCCCTGGGCGCTCGCATGAAAGGAGGCGGGTGCGGTTGACCCCCCCTTTGCCGTGTGTGTCGCGGTCGCCCGCAGCCCCGGTGGCGAGCAGCAGCAGCAGCCAGTTCGGCACCTTCGTCAAAACACCGGTCTTCATCGCCGTGGTGGTGCTGGTCCTGATTGTCCTGATCGGCATCAGCATCGTCGTCTACTGCTGCTGTTGCCGCAAGCGCAGCAGCCCCGATCCGTACCAGGGCGCCACCAAAGGTGCGTCAGCCGTTGGAAGTCACCGAGAATGCGGTGAGCCTAAGTTGTACGTACGTACGTTGAACTTCTTTCGCACCGTACGTAGCCAACTGTGCTAATCGGAGGTGCGGAGGAAGGACAACAAACTGAACACCAAAATCAGTTCCAAAGAAATGCGTTTTCAATCCAGATTTAAAAGTGGGTAGAGTTGACATTTGCATGGATTTCACGAAGCCATTTGCTGCACTTTTGATGATGAAAGCGGAAAGACTACTGACAGGCTACAGTGAATGAGGCATGATATCGGAATTGCTTCTGAGGTGTTTCTCACCGCATGCAATTCACTATTTGCATTTGAGAGCTTGTCTTTTAATGTTAACGTCTGCCATTTCTTTCTTGCCAGATCCTTCCTTCACATTCACTCCAACAGGTGAGGTCACCAAAAATATCCATTTCCCTTTCCTTCGTAACTTGGCAAACTTGAGAGGCTCTTTTGTGTGGCTGAATGTCACACCGTGACCCCTGCCAGCCATGCCCTTTGACCCTGTGGTGCTCTGGCTTGGCAGCGAGCGGGACAGCTGCGCTTGGCTTGGCCGTGTCGACGTGTCACTCGTTCAATTGATTTTTTTGTAATGTTTCTCTTCAGTGAGTGTGGGTTTTTTTGTGTGTCCCCTTAGTCACCTTTAACCCCAAGGATGACACCAGCATGATGAGCAATGCGAGGTAAGCGATCATTTTTTTATGCTCATAAAAAAAACACAAAAAAATTGCACCATTGATGAAAAGTTCATAGAACGTCGCAAGTCTGTGAATATTATGCGCGCTATTTGCATTGACATAGCAATGGTTTTCTTTTGTACTGCATTTAATGACACAACACTGTTATTTTTGTACTTTTTTTTATTTTGTCTTGAAAACATCAAATAAATTCTGCTCAAATGTTGCCAAAACCAACAAACAAAATTATTGGGAAAAAAAATCTCGGTCACCCGCTCCTCGTGAGCCAGCCACTCCATTACAGCCTCGGCCCAGAGTGAGCATCTTCCCCAGGTTGTCTGGGCCAGAAGTCGAAAATGTTGTAAATTAAATTCTTGTTCCATTTATGCGCTGCTGATAAATATTGGGAAGGCCGTGGGGCTGGTGTTCCCATGACGATGCGCCATGGCGGTAACCGCCCACAGCTCTCCGTCGGCATCAGCCCCCCACACGGCCACCACAGCGCAATTTTTGACTGAGGACAAACAAAAATCAAGATTACACATTTTTTTCTATTGTTAAAACCCCAAAATGAACATTATTTTTGTTTTCCTTCAATTCCCAATGCGATGAAGCTGGACAGACTCGCCGAGAATTACAGTACCTTGTGTGCAGTGGTTTGCATCCTCCGTAGTTTTAAACATATGGCTAATTTAACAATTTAACAAATAAAAATAAACGAAACTACCACACATGTCCAACTATTAGAATTGAGGTTACGTTGTTTATTTTCTTTTTTTTTTACAAATTTTCATATTGTGGTGGACGACGTGCTGTCGTTGCTAATGCTTACAGGACTCAGACTGCCGACCCCCGTACAAAACTGGCTTGGTAGCCAGCACACTGACTGATAAGGCTGCCCAGCTGCCCAAACATCATTGCCCTCTTTCCCGGGGGTTGTGCAGTTTTCTTGGATGATGGCGGGGTCATGCGAGCAATGGGATTTTTTTTTCTTTTAACTGGCTCCGATTTCCTTCCCATTTTTTGCCCTCTGTGCGCTGCCGTCTGCTTGTGCAGTTACCCGCCTTTCGGCGGTCCCGGGCAGACGTGGACGGAGCCGTGGCAGAACGCCGCACTAAATCAGAACTCGCCTAGTCAGGCAATCCCGGACTACTGCAGGCCAGGTGCGGTTACTGAGTGCAGGTGTCTTGCCGAGGGAAGGCGGGGGGGTGGACGTTGCGAATGTGACCATTCAAGATTGTGGCTTGTGTGAAGTTATGGGTCACTCTTTGTTTACTCCTGTAATTGTCTGTTTGTTATTTTTTTCAACTTGTCATGCTTTGCTTGCGGCTACCTGAGAACACAATGCATCTCTTGTAAGAGGGGTTAGGGTTTCTCTAAATCATTTCATATACAGTACAGATATACGTATTAGTAGAATTTAATAAATTTGTTTATTTATCACCTAGAATATGACAAGTGTGCATATTTGGTCAAGCATTGTGAATAGATAATGGTATGTATTACGCATGTTGGCTTGACTGCATTGTAGCTACTCTCAAATCTTTACAAAAACATGTAATTTGGCCAGCAATTACGTGGTAAAAATGATTGAATGTCTTATGAGTGTGGTGACCAACAAAGTGGCAAATGCATAAAGGGCTTTCCTGCAGATGCACGGGTGAAAAATAAGAATAGGGTTTACCCTTTCTGGCAATAAAACGTGTGTTCAGATGTTCAAACACCAAATAGAAACCCTTTTCAAGGAATCAAGTCTGCATTAGCCACACGTACTTGCGGTGAACATGCAAACAAACGTGCTCTGATAATATATGCAATGTCTTTGAAACGGATTGGCCTACACCAGAGACAGCCTTCTTTGTGGCCTAGTGACCCTGGTGAGACTAGGCTAATACAAACTTGATTCTTTGCAAAAATGTATCTATTCGGTGTTTGAACCACTTAACACCTTTTTTTATTGCCAGAGAGGATAAAACCTATTCTTATATTTCATACTTTGATATTGGAAAAAAGGTCCCACAATAGATGCACGCGTTTTGGATTCTTTTGCAGTCACCACGAGTCCCTTTTTTGGTTTGCTCTTTTCACCGTAATGTGTGCACTTTGAAAATCAATTTTGAAATGAACCAGTGAATGAGAAATTGTTTATTAATTGACAAGAGCAACATTTACATTTCCTGGGGGCCTTGCTCTGGACACGGTCATAAATTATTACCCCCCAAAAATTGGCAAACATTGTACAAAGCGGTAATGAAAAAGAGATAATGGCAGAGAGGGCCCCATTACTTACCATCAAGTGGCTGACATCTCTTTAGTGCTGACTAAACACCTTCTCCACCCACCCACCCCCCCACCTCCTCGTCCACCCTCTTCCCACATCGACGTCATCGCCGCTCGTGCCGTTAAGCCGACCACCTGAGCCCGTTCCGCAACCAGCTGGAGCAGAAGGAGACGAACCTGCACCGACCTCGCACCCCGGAGACGCCCGTGTATCGCGAGGTGGAGCCAGCCCACCAGCTGAGCGGCACCCAGAACTTCCCGGGGCCCAGAATCAAAGAGTGCCAGGTGCTAGAGGCCACCACCAGTGGAGCTCGCACATCTGCGCGCGTTTTTTAAAAAAAAATGTTCGTTCGCACTCGTGCTGCGTGCAAAATCGGCTCGGTTTTCGTCGTCGTTTTACAAATGCATCTTTTTTTTCTCGTGTTTCAAGTTTGAGAATCTGACATTTCAGCCAGTGTCAAAGGTAACGACAATTTTTTAAAAAAAAAATTTTTATCTTACCAGATAAGGCCCACTGAGCGAATTGTAATTTGGCAAGCCTGGGTGGGAAAGTGCAGCCCCACTGTTGCGTGAACCAGAGGTCACTTGAAGGGATCTCAGAAGCAGTTCTGTAATATCCACTTCTGTGGGTCGTTCTGTAGCATGAAGGGACTGCTTTGCGAGAGATCTGATATTTAATCTCATTGTGCGATGCCGCGCAATTGGGATAAAATTGGGGAAAAAACAATATCAGAATCAGAATCTTTATTTACCTTGGAAAAATGTGATGAGCTATGGATCTCTTTTTCACAGATGCTCAGTGGTTTTCAGAGATGTCCAGTAGGACAGCTGTACACACTTGCCCACTCCGCCCACCCAGCTGCCAATCTCCCCACTCGCCCACTCGGGTGTTGACTGACGGCCTGGCTTTTGCATTGCGATTGCCATTCATTCTGCAGGTCCTGGGCAAGACGTCGGCATATGCGGCCTCCCCGCCGGCACAGGCGGCGCTCTGCAACAACATGAGCAGCACGGCGCGCGTCACGGACAAGCGCACGCACAAGCAGCCCTTCCTGCCACGTGCGGACGGCTTGCCTGGCACCAAGAACCACATGATTGAAGTCACCAAGCTCAACAACGGTGAGGGAACTGTTACTGTGCTTATCCTGGCGTTAATCAACTGCTGGATGAGAGTCTTCCCCAAGACGTTCGGCCCTCCGGGGGCGGGGTGGTCACCCGAGCACACTGCACCTGAGTCACTGTGGTTTGGTGAAAATGGGCAGCGTAGACGTCGGAACACAGAAGTACAGTACAGCAACGGTATTTGCTGCACTGCCCTCTGTTGCCAGCTGAGCCCCATAGCAGTCTATAACAACGTCTGTGTTTATGCCTGTATATCCAAGCACTATCCGGGCTCCACCTTGTTTAGCTTTCAAGGCCTCAATGGACAGGGTGCATTCCAGGTGATTTGGTCATTGGTATCATTCTAGGAATAGTGGTTACCCACCAGCTGGGTGGCTATGTGGTCAGGGCACATGCCTCACCATAAAAAAATCCCAGTTGGGAGTGAGCTCAGCCCATTTTTCCTCCATTATAGGCACATAAAATAAGTAGAACTTTGGGGGACATCAACAATGGGGGTCAAACTGATTAACTTACCAATTCTAGCAATATGGAATTCGCATTGCAGGCTCTGGGTTATAAATAATAAATGAGTAGCGCTCCATGCTCCTTTACACAAACGCGACTTAGATTTTTCAATTAATCAATAAATCCTCACTGGCTGTCCAAGAATCCAGAGGGTTATTGCTATAAATATTTGGATAATTCGTTTTTGGGTAATTTTGTGAGTGAAGGAAATATATGTTCCCAGAGAAAGCCAATGCATACATGGTGATGACACTAAGAGGCTACACAGATGGGTTAATAAACCCCCTTACTACACTCCCTCTTGCAGGCATCAACATATTTAACGTTACCCAGCAAGTGTGCACCTCACGCACGACGATCCCATCTCTGTGTGATCCAACAACCTCCACCCCTAAGTTGCTGTTGTACAAGTGTACAGCGCGACACGAGGCAATCATGATATTTAGCAACGTCTGTGTAAGGTGAGCCACGTTTTAATGATTCGCGTAGAGAATTTACAGAATCGGTAGCCACGACTCAATTTCTAAATTTCACGGAGGGTCACAACTTTTGCCTCTCGAACGGTTAAAATCTCCTCCTGAAATCTCCCCTCCGTGGGGCGGCCCGGAGCGGTGGAATTTATTTTCTTTTTCATGCAGTAGCAGCAGCGGCGGAGAGGGACAGAGCAGCTGTCTCCTCTGCTCCCAGGCGGAGAACTGCCACTTGCCAAGGTGACCCGTTCCACCGCAGCACCGGAATTTGGTACATCGGCTCTCCGGAGCCCTTGTAGCGAACGTTGGATATTTATTCTGTTCCTGAACACCAGCTCCTGTTAATCAGATCATTTATCTGCCGTTCTCTCTTTCCATTGAGATCCTGATGGGAGGAGTGAGGGGCAGTTAAATTTGGCTTAACGGTATCGAATGGACACACGTTATTATAGCTCTAGTTGAACCACAGGTGTGAATGTTACCCGGATATGGGCACGTAATGTTACTCATTAACTCTTACTCCCAGCTTATCATGCCACACACACACACAGATCGCGCGCCTCCTCACAATGGCAAACCCCGGAGTGTTATTGCGCAGTGCACCTCTTAATAGCTTCGTCAGTCTGATGCCACAAGTTAGCAATGCGGCAATGCTGGGTGGCGTGTGAAGGATTTTCCGACGCGGAGCACGTGGCGCGTGGCTGGCTGGCTGGCGGCCCGCTTGCTCGCGGGAGTGGGGGCCCTCTTGGGAGGCACCGCGGTGCCGGCTGCTTTCGCGTGCTCACAATGGGAGCGCAGTTCAGTGGCGGCAAGGTGTGGAAGTGCGACTTCCGTGTGCGCGCGCGCGTGCGGGCTAGTAGGGGGGGGGGTGTTTGTTTACGTTCGTGGGTGCTGACAGCTTTGTCGGTTGGTTTGTGTGCACAGTGCCATTGAGAAGCGATGTTTGTGTGCTGTTATTGCAACTAAGTGAGTATCTTTTAGAGTGGAAATAAATTATGCGTTTTCCTTTTTCGCTTTCTTAGCTTATCCTTCCCTTTGGGGGAGATATATAAGACTGTGACACGAACATACGCACAAGTCCAGGTATGCGTTGGCTCACTTGACACGAGTTGGGGGTACACCGATTCGACCTTTTATTCAACGAGTGAGAGGTCGCGACTGCAATGATGAGATCGTAGCCAGGAGTCTGACATTCTGCCACCCACTACAATGGGAGGATGGTGACCGTGATCTCTCTGCACCAGTCAATAAAGTCGCACCTGTCAAATAAAACGCCGGTGTGCTCCAACTTTTGTGTCACGATTGTTCATATATTCACGGCAGTGTGATTCCTTTTGCGCATTTGTGTAATTGTGCACAGACATGTGTCCAGTATTTGTGCATGTCAAACCTAAAAACGCGTTTGTCTGAACTTATGCTAAAAAAATAATGGCGCGACAATCTGTTGGTAAAACATTATTTCACGCCCGCTGTGGGTTTCTGTAGTCCTTGGTATGTGCCCTGTGGAATTCAGCTTGGTAGAATTTTGCTTGAGTACTGAAGGTACGCAAGGTCATTAGGACCATAAGCAGCTTGTGTACGCGCGTGTTTTGCGTGCATGCATGCATGCACAAGACGGATTAACGGGAAAGCGTGCAGACACTTGGACCAGACGGTGACAGGGCCTAACTTGTCCTTGAAGGCTCAAAGTCGATCTGGGATTTGCTGCCACATGGGCCTATGAACAAGAAAGAAGAAAAAAAAACAAACCGCCTGGTTGATAATTTGCTTTTAGGATTAACACCGCCTGTAATGTCCACTTCCAGCCACTCTTGTAGGCATTAACAGGAAGGTAAATATGTACCCTCTCCAGCCTCACCACTTCACTGCCAACGACAACCAGAGACCTCTTTTGTCTTGCAGCAGTCCGTGTGCGGATTTCATCCCGCACCCCCACCACCCGTCCCCCCCTCACTGCCTGACTTTCTAAAAAGCCATCACCCCTCACGACCTCTTGACCCGCTGGCTTCTGGTCCCCTTTCTCTCGCTCTCTCCCTCCCTATCTCACCCCCCCCCCACCCCTTTCTCTCGCCAACCTTCACTTTTAGAACTCGCGATGACGGACGGCCGGGGGGAGGCGGTCGCCCACCACAGCACCCCCGAGCAGAGCACCATGGGCTCCCACGCCAGCTCGGAGCGCAGCAGCTCCTCAGGTGAGACGGCGGTGACAGGGGCAGGTGCACCGCTTGGTGGACGAGGCCGAGAGAGCCGCGCGCCCACCGTCGGGTGGCCGCGGGGCGTGAGCAGCACAGCTTCGCGTCTCGTTATTTCTCTTTGCACACTTGTGCGCGTCTGAAGTTCTCCCTCCGAGGTCAGGTCCGTGGCCCAAGCTGCCACCTCTTCGTCCAGTCCACTCCCTCCTTTCTTTTAGCCTGCAAACACCACATTCTGCACTAGCGTTCATCAGCCATAACCATGACTCTGTTGAGGTCAAACAGGAAATCGTGGACAAAAGTCAGACTGCATATTTTTTTTATTTTCTCCCATCAGTCAGTAGGTCTTCCGGAATAAATGTTTTAAAACAGCATTTGTTTAAGCAGGAAAAAAAAAATCTGGTTCAATGTTTTGGGTCTCACCGGTGGGGGCAGGCCTGTTTAACCAATGCTGTTATGTTACCAGGTGTGACAGAGGCTGGAGCCATCAGCGCTGTCTAGAAACTCCGTGTGAACAGTCGCAGGTTATTGTGGGTAACGGATATACAGTTGCAGGTTATTGTGGGTAATGGATATAGATAATGAAGTCGATAAAAATCAGTCTTTACGCATATTTAAATGATATGTAGTTGAGGTGAGCTGAGGTGGGTTTCCCCTCACCTTCATCAACAAACACAATCGCCTGCTGTCGAGCTCTGCATTCAGGTTTGAAGAACGAAATATTGACTTTATATCCAGTTTATATATCTGTCATTGTTGACGACGACGATGATGATGGTGGTGGGAAAATTGTATTGTTTTCAATCACAAGGTGACACGTTGGAAAGAGTTGAGGAGTGGATAAAGGTCCCCAGTCGAGTAGTGAAGTCCTGCTCAGTTAAATTAATGAATTAAATTTGGGTGATGTAGAGGAGAAATCTGGCTGTCGCCTGATGAAGCTAGTTGTAATTACTGGCGAAACGTCGTACTCAGATTGTAAATGTTGTGGCTTGGCTCTCCAACACACCGGTGTGATGTACTAGTGACTAATTGGCATGTTCTGTTTACGTATATGTGGCGGGTTTTAACGACACATATTTACGCGATCTAACCCAAAAACCTCTATTATGGATGATATTGGTCGCGAAAGCCTACGTGTTAAACAGAGGAGGTGAAGTTGGTATGTAGACTTTAAGGAGTACCACGATCAGACCACTTGATTTAAAACTATTAATGTACATGCACGGCTGTTTGGGTCAATCCACTGCTGGATGAGGACCTCCCCCCATGCCTTACAGGTAATGGGGGTTATTTGACCATACCTCGGCATGCTGGTCAGTGCGGATTCATGAAGGTGGGCAGCATAGACCGGGGAGCGTAGAAAATACGCTGCAACGACGGATGTTTCTGCAGTGTGCTCAGCTGGCGAGCAGGTAGCCCTGCAGCAACCCGGTACGCATGCGGTCACCCATGAAAGCACTGTTCAGGCTCAAAGCTGCTTAGCTCTTAAGATCTAACAAGATCAAGTGCATCTTGGGAGAATCGGTCACAGGCGAAAAATGATTCCTGACCCTCCGGAAATCTGCAAACATCGCGGAAGAGAAATCGCAGCCACGCGAACGGAGGAAGTCACATGGCGTCGTGCGTGCACGTGCGTGCGTGCGTTTCCTTGCTCCGGCAGCGCACTCGGGGAAGAGGAAGAACGCGCGGACACCCAAGACGGGGAGGCAGGCGGCGCCGGGAGTTGCCGAGCCTCTCCCGCCCCCGCCCGCTCTCCCGCCGGCTGAGCTGGGCAGCGCGGGGCGAGCGGCTCAGGCCGAGCACGAGCGGTGAGCGCGGTGACTCTCCAAGCGGCCACCAGGCCACTCGGCCATTACTTTGTACCGATTACCTTTCCTCTCGCTTGCAATCCTATCGTCTTTTTGCGTTGTTTATTTTCATTGTTTTTATGACAGCTGAACGCGAGCCCCATTACGAAGTTAATGTCGGTCGCCGAACGAATGGGGGGAGGGAGGAGGGAAACAGAAATTCCCCAAACAGCAGCCCTGAGTTTGATGCGACAGGGCTGAGTGAATAGGGGAGAGCTGGGCTCACTTGCCCCGCCCCAGGTGGACACCGCGAGCGGGAGAGGGGACATGAAGGTTTATACAGGGAGTGGAAAAGGGTAAGCGGAAAGATAATTTACAAACTGGGGGAAAGAAAAGGACGGGGAGGTTTTGTATCATTGTAACTTAATGACCCGCCTCTAAAGAGCTTCATAGCTCATCGGATTTCTCCAGGATGAATAAATATTTTGATTGTGTAAATTTAAGGCAGCTCTCATGATCTGTATTCGGTTCTTGAAGAAGGACCCAGCACATGCAGAGAGCTGTGTGGCACAACCACGCGCGGCACAGCCGTGAAAAACCCACACAGTCGCACAAGTAAAAAAAGCTTCTTGTGAGAATGGTCCCTTCGCTCCTATCTTGCTCGTTGAGAATTGCCCAGTTTGCTTCTGCTCTCACACCTCATTTGCTTTTACCCGGGCAATATACAAGTGGGAAAAATGTATACGAGAGAAAGAGAGAAAATACACGGACAAATATGAAGATCCCCCCACCCGCCAACCCCTGTTTTGCCCTGTGGAATACCGTGGCTTGTACAGCTGGCTAGCACCTGTTAAGGCCGGCGTGGCATACGAGCGAGTGGTGTGGATAGCGCCATCAATGCACAGCTGTCTTTGTCTCCCCCGTGTATGATCACATCGCACGCTCGAAGTACTCAAATTTAGACCCCGAGTCCACCTAGGGGAGAGCGAGGCTATAGCTTGAGATACCGAGTGCTCCTGGTGCACACAAAGGCAAATATCCTTTGTATAGCCTTTAGCAGGCTGTTGGGGCAAGTGCGGTTCGCAAGCTCCCATTAAGGCCAGCGCAGCACGTGAAGGGGTGGGTGCTCATTTAAGGCCGGGGTTGACCTGGTGTACGTTTGAACACACGTGAAGTAAGCAGTGAATAAAAACCTGGGCGAGGGCGTTTAAAAATAAATAAATAAAGAGAACATCATGAAAGAGCAATGCTGGACTTTAATAATAATAAAAAATAACGAACGTCAGAACAGCTTTGAAAGTAATCTGAAGTGAAGTTCGGTTCAGAGCTCGGCTGATTTGAGGACAGGAGGGTGGTTGGTGTCCGCCCTCGTTTTTCTCAGATTTCTCAAGTTTCCCCCTCATGCAGGTTCCATGTGGCTTCTCATAATAAACAATGGCGACGGGTGGCTAGAACGTGGCAGTATCATTTTTACAACGCTTGCGCTTGCTAACGAAACAGGTCTGGACGCTGTTATCGCTGGGGAACTTGCTTCTCCGCCGCCGTTTCGTGCGTCCGCCCAACCCTGTGGCAAACTCGAAATGTTCGCAGCTGCTGACGGTCGGAATGGCATCGCATTCCCCATACCCAAAGCATCTGAACAACGCCGCCTCGATGGAGGTTATACGTTGACGAGCTTCAAAAAGGCGTTCACGAGACAGAGGCGAAACTGACGAGCGTCCTGGCCGGGCGCCGCCTTTGCCCTTTTGGGGCGCTCTTTCAGAGTGGACGAGGGCAGCGGGTACCCGCCCGAGCGGGCGTACGAATACCTGCAGCAGAACGAGGAGGAGCACGATGAGGATGACGAGGAGGCGGACGAAGAGGACGACCTGGTGGTTGACGAGGGGAAGGCGCGTGGGCCCCAGCAGTACGCTCGCGCGTCGTACAGCCTGCAGTCGACGGCCCCCTGCTCGCCCGCCAGCCCCGAGGAGCGCAGGCCCATGATCCAGGCGCACAGCCACGAGCCGCCCGGCAGGAGGAAGAGGGCGGCGCTAGAGAGGGCCGCGCGGTGAGCTGGTAGCATGACCGAGCAAAAGCAACAACGTGACTTTACCGAAAGAACCAAGAATATGAATCGCTGCAGTCACGAAAGCTTTAAATCAAAATTTAACAACAACTGTCTTCACGCTGTATGAAAAATAAGAATAAAATAGGCAATGAAATAGGTGTTAAGAATGTTCTAACACCAAATAGATACTTTTTTGCAAGGAATCAACCTCTTAACACCTGTTTTATTGCCATAAATGGTTAAACCTATTCTTATTTGGATACAGGCATGGATATATAGGTCCCATAGATATATCTTCACGCGGGCATGCTGGGAGAAAATAAAAAAGCGACACTTGTATTGCTTCATTCTTATGCTTTTTTTCAGTTTTTCCTACAATTTGTTGTTGTTTTGTAGGCACTACCCAGGACGCCCACTGCTCTCCGCAAGGTCCCCTTCACCGCCATGCCTGTATGGATACATCACGGGCCCGATGCCCTCCGATCTGGAAACGGAACCGGCGGAAGAGGAGGAAGAGGAGGAGGCGGCCGTGGCAGTGGCGTCGGCAGGGACCGTAAGCGTGTTTCCCAAGGCGGGCACCGTTGGGGCCGCCCGATTTGATGCCAAGAAGCTGCTGCTGAGCCTGGAACACACGTCGGTGTCCAGCCTGGGCGACCCCGAGAGCTCCCTGGCGGGGTCCATGCTCAACGGCTGGGGCTCCGCATCGGAGGGCGACGGTGACGATGAAGATGGCGGCGGCTCGAGTGATGGCGGCGGCGGCGGCGGCGGCGGCGGCGGCGGCGGGGTCGGCGGGGTCGGCGGGGCGGGCGGCGCAGGCACCGGCGGGGCCTCCAGCGACGGAGGCTCGAGCGAGAGCTCGTTCCGCGTGGACGCCGACTTCGCCGACGCGATTGCGGCCGCCGCGGAGAGCGCGGGACTCAAGCTGCACCACCAGCACTCCGCGGCGCAGGCCGTGCAGGCGGCGGCTGCGATGGGCGCTGTGCAGCCCGGAGCCGGCGTGCAGCAGCAGCAGCAGCAGCAGGTTGCGTCCTATACGGAAGGTACTGCCCCCCACCCCCACCCACCCCTGCCAAAACACATGGAATGTTACAAAGACAACGCTGCCGTTGCTTTTTTGGAAAAAAAAACGAATTGCCGTGGAGCATTTTGAAAAAGGGCCGCTTGTTGTTCCGGTCCCGTGAAGGTGACAAAAGCGGCAGGTGTGCCTACGGTGTCTCCTTGCCAGTAACCTTGAATTTGATTTCCATTAATGTTTTCATTTCATTTTATAAACGTCCCCCGTGGCAGCTATAACTGCAGCAGTGGCAACGAACACACATTTGCGGCTCCCCATATGTCTGCAACAGACTACACTTTTATGAGTGCGCGCGTGTGCACGCGCGCACGTGCACACGCATATGCCCTTGCATATTAGGAAGAGGCTTACACTTTGCCCGCTGTGCATAGCTTTGCATGAGGAACCCATGTTCAACAATAAAATGGGGTCATAAAAAAATTACCATTGAATTTTTTTTTAAAACGTTTTTGAAAATATCATTTTAAAGATCCTATGCCAAAAAAATGGGCAGGTGGAGCCCAATAACCAGGAAGGGGTGCTGTGAGACTCTGTGGCATAAAACCCATTGGTGCGTAAAATGTCAGTGTGTCTTTCTGGCACCTGTCAGACTGTCATGTCGCTTACAGTCACACTCCCGTTTGCTCGCCTTCTTGTCACTTGAAAGGAAGATGAATAACACTTTCAAGAAGTCGAGGAATGAAGAAGATGGCGGAGAAAAAAAGAAAGATGAATGTCTCCATAATAAAGCTTACACACAATTCCGGACGAATTTTCTCTCCATTTAATCTCCGGCGTGAACAATGAGATAAAGAATTCTCTGGACGTGTCTGGTAGATTTTTCAGCGCGCCCCCCATTGTGCACAGGGCGTCCATCGTGGAAAGGTTTTGCTGAAGCTTTAGGACGGCCGCGAGAATGATGTCCATGCCCCTGGTGAAAGAGTCAATCAGTTTTAGTGTTTGGTGACCGCTGTAAATCTAAAAAAACTTGGGAGGCCTTTCCCTGATGGCTCACTGATGACTAATCATGGTTGCGTCGTTCTCGATCTCTCTCTGGTGCGTGTGAATAAAACTGACCCCCCCCCCCCCCCCCCCCCCAGATTTTGCGCTGTACAGCCGCCCGCACTTCCCGGCGACAGGAAGCCGAGCGCTGCCTGGAGCCGGAGCCGCGAGCTTGGGCCCCGAGCGGAGGTCAGGTGACCCCACGGGGGCCGTGAGCGCCGGCATCAAGTGTTAGGCCCCACACCTTGGCCGGTGAGGGCAGCCCCCACGATATTCAATGGGATTTTTTTGTATTTGCTTTATTGAGATATCAATGAGGTTAACTGTAATATGTTACAGTCCTTTTGTCAATCTGCTGGTGCAAGAAGGCCTCCAAACGCCGTGCCGGCCGTCATTGTTGTTTGATGACATTTGCCGGTCAGCACTGGTGCGCGAACGGGAGCGTCCACTCGCCACTGATTTTGATTCGGGACGACGGGTTCTTCTTAGCAGCAGAGTGTACTCGCCACTGCCCCACTGCACCACCGCTCCATCCTGTTGATGAACATATTTTGGTTTATGCCTTTTCATTGGACTTCCACCATTTTTAAGGTTGGCTTGATTAATAAATTGGTCAATAACTTAATTTAAAGTTGACTAAGTTAATTTTCAAAGCACTTGTGTTAAGTTTGAAACCATTTGATGACTATGAATTATATGAATAATATATTTTCATATTGACTATGGATCATTCCAAACACTCATTATTATTATTATTTACTATGGATCATTCCACTCATTATTATTAACGGTAATAACCAAACATCCGAATGTGGGACCCACGTGAAAAATACTGTTTAGTCTCAGTCAGGCCTTGCCAGGGTAACCACCATTATTATTTAGATAACATAAAAACTAAAAGAATAGTAATCACTATTTCCATCCATGTATTCTCCTAAATATAAATGTTATGGGAGTGGTGGCACAAAGTTGTTAGTACACTGTGTTAGTCGGATTCCCAGCCATGGCTAAAATCAATCGTGAGTCACATCTCAACCATTTCTGGGTCCCGACTTCACCAATCCACACTGACCAGCGTGGTGAAGCTTATTCCAACAATCCTCATGACTAACACCACAATATGGAGGTCTTCATCCAGCGGCAAATTCACAAAAGGCAGTCAGTTATAATGTTGTAATTTATATATAAGCAATGTAACAAATCTACGTGTTTTTTTTTTTTGCATTGGTATCATTTCGTCGTTATTCAGGCGCACACCCACTTCTTGTTTTTTTGTCACTGAAGGTGGTGGAGCTGATGGAGTAAAGCACAAGTTGGGCCACGGTGCTAACCCACCGTCCCTCCGCCGCGGTACGGCGGGCCCTCACGCCTGGGCCTAACCCCCCCGCCCCCCCGCCCCCCCACCCACCACCGCCACCGCGTCTCACTCTGCCGGAGCGCAGTCTCCGGAAATGATCGCCATACGGAGAGAGAGAGAGAGGTTGTTGGAGCAACATCCCCGCGCTGTGTAAATTTGACTGTAATTTACTATTATAACTATAGGTGTTGTTTTAATACGAAGATTAGTCACCCGTCCCCCTTTTGTCCCACTCGGTTTTTTTCCTTGAAATTACAGTACTTTTGTAGTGTTTTTTCGATTAAAGTTGGTTTCTTTCAAACAAGTCTGAAAGCTCTGCAGACTAGAAAATGCACTGTGAAATAAAATTGGTTTAAAAGCACAAAGACTAACAAGTAATGTTTATTGTATCTTTGATATTGACTTTTGCTACTTAATCTTTGAAAACTATTGAATGATTTGTTTTTGTTTCTTCTGGGAGATGACGAGGGAAATGTTGGGAAGATCCCTTTGTCCGAGAGGCAGTTGAGTTTTAAACGATGGTTACTAGACTGCTGATAAGTTGGTTTTAAGAAGCACACAACACAAAGAGTGTTCTAATATTTTTACTGTTATTTGAAAAATATAATTTGTTTTGAAGCTGCGTTTGTTGCCTGCTACGAAGGATGTACGTCTCCTAGTGGTGCCGCTGTTTAGATTGCTCATATTTCATGTTTTACTTTGTATCTTTATTAAACAGACGTACTTATGCCTAGACTGTGGTTTGAATGATTTTTGTAGGACCAATGTTAATGAACGTTATTGATTAGTTTGAACTTTTTTTTGCTCTTTTATTTTAATGTTATTTTTCGTGTGTAAATGTTCAGTATAAAGCACAAGATGATACGTCCTCTACCTGTTTTGTATAGGTTGTGGAAAAAGCTTGACGGTTGGTATTACTGGTAATGTCGATGCTAATCCATTTATAGGTTTAAAACATTACAAAGCTTCCAGTGCACTCTGTTACACCCTTAACTTGACTACAGAGGACCCCATGGTTTCGCAAAATGAGACCCAATCACCTTTTGGCAGTTTTTTTCCAAATTTGTTCATAACATGGACGTTGGCTTTTCCAAAAATATGGGGGGGGGGGAGGGGGTGCAAGGGGCCATATAGTCATTGTTATGGTGGAACCGAGGATTATACATTGTGTACATCACGCTAAGGCTAATAATTTCTAAACCACTCAAATATTACCTCGTGACTGCTCATGTAATGTGTCTGACGTTCAATAAAACACAAACATGCACGCACACACACACACGCAGACGCGCAAGCGTTGAAACATTATCGTCGTAACAAAAAAACAATTTAAAAAGCTACAATCGTTAAATGGTCTGTTATAAAAATGCAAACACGTCGCTGTGCAAGTGTCATTTAAGCTTCGGTGAATGCGTACGGTAAAGTCTTGGTAACTCTGGCTGCCATCCCCAAGTCCGGCTTGTTACCCCCCCCCCCCCGAATCCGAGGAGCGAGTGTGCCCCTCTCTGTGTTCGTACATCAGCTGCTGCCCGCTATTCCCCAACCCCTCCTCCACCCCAGTGTCTGAACCTTCCTCGTTTTTATTTATGAAACCGACACGATCATAGAAAATACACTGCAATCTCGCATATTCTTTCTCCTTGAAAAAAAAAATGTTCTCTTTTCATACTAAAAAAACAAACAATTAATAATAAATGTCTGTGGAGAGTGCCTGCTTTGTTGTGCATGGCTGCTGTGAAGCGCGGACGTCGGGCTGCGCCGAGCGGATTTTTTTTTTACGAATCGGCTTCGCGCACAACGCACACGGGGGCCCAGCGATGAGACGTGCATCCCGGCAACGTGGGACACATGGGGGTCCGAGGAAGGTTGTAGCAAAAAAACAAGAACTCGGTGAATCTTCGTCGATTCTTTTGTTATTATTATTTACAGACCGTTGGTGAATTCACTTGCCGAATTAAACCCTCTCTAAACGAAACAATTTTTGTTTTATTTTACCAAGTAAAGCCCACTGAGCTATATAGCTCTTTTTTTAGAAGCGACTTGGTCACAAATGATACCTCGATGGAGTGGTTTATCGTGTGAAAATTTTTAGGAGCCAAATAATCTAAATGTGGAGATGACTGGAGGAACCCGGAGGAAAATCCATGCAACCACAGGGAGAACATCGTAAAAAACTCAAAATATACAGCAGGCGTCAGGGTCGGAATCGAACCCACGACCTCCTGCATACCAGACGAGGTATTTAACATCTCGAGGTCAAGTCCGTTATGTAGATAGTTTGGCTTTGCCCAATACTTCACCATACTAGTCAATGTGGTGGGTTGGTGTTGGCGAGCCTTAAGGGGTTGGTAAAAAAAAAAAAAACACTTGTCACTGTTGTTAGCCATGACCAGCAACCAAATCCAGATCTCTAGATTAATGGCTCGGTGAAATAACCACTGCGCCACTGCTCCCCGTCTGGTAGATGCGGCTACTAATACGATAATGCCCCTTGTTTATCCAGCAAAGCTTCACCGAGCCTAGGGACGTTTTTTCAGTAGGGTTTTACATTGGGATGTTTGGTTAATTCGATTGAGGAGTGGCATGGAAGAAAAAAACACCTGGGTTTGCAAAGAGAAAACCCATTTATGTAGTGCCACCTTCTTCTTTGGTTCTTTCGGTAAAGTCACGTAGAATGAGAATAAAATAATAAATTGATAAAATAAAATAACACAATAATTTTCTCACGACGTTTCGGCAACAATTTATTATTTTATTCTCATTCTAGTGACTTTACCGAAAGAACCAAAGAAGATGAATCCTTGCAGTCACGAAAGCTTTAAATCGAAATTTTGTGCCACCTTGTGCCTGTGGCTATATCACCTGTTATTAAGAGATGGAGTGCATTCAGGGTGATTTTGTCCGTGGCCCATACCAAATCTGTTACGTGGGCTTTCTGACAATGTTAAAGCTTCACGAAAGAAAAAAAAAACCTCGGGAAAAAAAAAACAGGCAGGAGCGCACTCTCGTGATGCTGCTGTGACGTCCCTTCTTATTGTACCGAACACATCACCGCAGTGGAAATTACTGGAGGGCTGCCATCATTTGTTCTTTCAGTGTCTCACCTCTTGAACCATTTGTGGAGAAAGAGTCAAAAGAGCGTACATGTTGCGAACCTTCAGCATCGCAGAAAAGCTTTTTTTGATGGTTCAAGGCAGTGTTAATGAAAGTGGTGGGTTTCATGAAATGTGTAAAAAGACACCAATTTTATACCTAAACATGAAAAAGAATGCAGCATTTTGCCGATTTTCACACCAATGTGTTTGCCAAAGTGACACGTATTTTTTCTTCAACGTATAATGAGACTGTCTCGGGCGGCGAAAATGTGTTGCCTCGGCTAACTTTATTTGAACAAGCGATATTGTGATGTGGCTTGGGATTGGAAAGTTGGGCGTAATATTCACTCGGTAGATCCATGGAAAATTGTTACACAGTGCAGAGGAGTCCTTGCGCTACACCAACTCGAGATGATGTGCCAAGGTGCATCATCAGCAGCCATGATAAATCACAGCCGGATGAAGGCCTCTCCAAGCCGTCACCATATCTCACGGTCCTGCGATGGCTGCATTGCAATCCATCTAGCACCTACACACCAGCTGATGTAATCGTTTCATCCCTGCGGTTGACGTCCTCTCGTTTTACAACCTTTGGCTACCACTCTCAATTTAGTCTTGACCACCGGCCATCATCCCTCCTGGCGACGTGCCCTGCCTCAAGCCCACAACTAAACTTTTCCTAACGAGGCACCTGTGTGTCTTGCGCGGCTAATGACAGACGCGCGAGGGAGGCTGGGGCCTGACAATCAGCGATGTCCCCGTAGCAAAATTATGTCACCAAACCCGCGTCGCGCGTCCTTTGATTTATTGTATTTGAGCGGTGAGATAAGGCGTTCGATCACGCACGCGGGGCTTTATGATACCAGGCCGCCCGTATCTGTATCTGCTGATGAAAACACGCACACAAATCAAAAAAGAATAACTTAAGCCGGCTAAGCGCAAAGGTATCACCCGCTAATTATAATTATCAGTTTAATTATTACTTAATGGGGAAGCCAATGATTAATCCGAGGGTTCGGCAATAAAGCGATCAGCGCAACAGTTATTGGGCAATAAAACAATCAAACTAAACAGGCTCGGGTGCTGCGGGAGGGAAATTATGGAAGAGATTGGGAGCCATCCACCATCTGTCGGCGGCGGGTGAGAGCAGCAAGGGGAAGGAGGTTGCGTGGAGCAATCATTGCCCTGTTTCTGGGTTGTCGCACCCGCGGCTGTCTGCTCGGTGCGATATGAAGTTTATAAATCAAGCACGCAGCCAGCCAGCCGGCCCGCGCGGCCGGGTCCGTCTGCGGCGGGAGGACTGCAATCTTCCCGCGCAAGACCACCGGCCCCATCCCCCCCCACCCACCCACCCACCCACCCACCCCGCCAGCCCCTTCCCCCCCCAAAAAATGTATTTTAATCAAAATGTGGCATAAGCGTCTGCTGCCCGGGTTGAATGCTCACGCCGAGCGAGTTCATATTGCTGTCCGCCACCCCCCTCCTCCTCCTCCTCCCCCAAAAAGGGTTTGCTCCGATCCAAGGCCCCCCTTTACCGTGAGTAAATTGTGAACAGAAAAAAAGCAATTACCGAACATAATAGAGCATAAATGATGGAGTGGTGAAACATGGGGATATTTTCTCTTTTCAGCATTGCCATAAATCAAGATTTGCTATTTACGGAGCTAATGGGACGCGACTCGAGGTTATTGTGGTTGCAGAAAGAACGCGTCTTCAAAAAATATATAAAATGCACCGCGCTCATTAGCATATAAATATGGCATCTGGCCCGAGCCGAGGGCTTCTGTTGAATTGGTGGGTTTTGTATAATCCTCGCAGCGCCGAGGAGCCGTCCGATACATTATTAAAAACGCTGAAATGTGGTTAACCCCGCCTGCCAAATGAGACAACAAGGACTCCGATTTTTGAAAGCCGCCCTCCGTGGCAGGTCGGATGGAGTCTCATCAAACGCCAGATGCCAGGTATCCCCCATCCCCAAACCTCCCCTGGCCGTGCCCCCCATCGCAAGCACACAGGGCCCCCCATAATCCAGTGTTGGTTAGACCCTTTACCACCCAGTCAATATCTGGACCACGCAAAACCATCGACCCCTACCGCGTGTCTACCGTAGCGTAGTTGGAATGGGTCCATGCTGCGATAAATGAAATGCCACCCATCCGCCTCCCCCCTCTCTTCGCAGCCATGTTGCTGCCCCTCCTCCCCCTTCAGGCCCGTGGGCCCCGGGTGCAGTTGCACCACCTGCACACTAGATAGCCACGTCACTATCCAGCCAACGGGGGGCCTCACTTCTACACCCTCGCTATCGAGTGTAGCAGTAGGTGCAACGGCACCCGGGGTAACTGGTAGGCTGGGTCCACGAGGTGGCTAGTAGGGGAAGAGGAAAGGGGGTTATGGGGAGTATCCCCCCACTCCCCCATTTCACGCCTTGCACCAGGGCCTATGCCAACTCACGCTCCGCCACTGATTCACTGCCAATCGTACAGAATTACCATCATCATCGACGCTGTACGGTACTCGGCAACCACCACCACCAACAACCTCAACGTTCGTCTCATTACTCGGCACACGGTGTCCTGCACATTCCTATACACCGTGCGTGGATCATGGCCATTCGGCACCATCTCGCATGGTCCCAGCCACAGGAGTCGTCCCATTACCACCACCGCCCAACCATCGAATTACAAGCCTCTCCATCACCAATCCCCATAACAGCCTCTTGCCTCTCGGCCACCTTTGTCGATGCAGCGCGTTGGTGTGGCGGGGGGTGGGAATACCCGAGGAGGATGGTGAATAATACATGAGCCACTGCTGCCGAACACGAGTGGTGTATCAGTGAGTAGAGCGAGAGCTGGCACCGCATGCTGGGGGAGGTGGGGGGGGGATACATTTCATGAGCAGGTGTGAGCGTCTGTGTGTGCTGCACTACGAACCCGGCAACCCGAGTTCGATTCCTGCTCACAGCCACCGACGCCAGTGACGATTATCCGAACCTGTCACGGGCCTTCCCTATGTTGACTCAGTCTCAAATAAGTAGCTGGTGTAGCATGTAAATATCGACACTGAGGAGACGAAGGAGGATGGGCGTGGTTCTGGCCACCCACCCGGTCCTGTGCTGTACCGGCCTTGAAAAGGTGCTCGCTAACACGCGCCCAATACTGAATAACTGTGAAAAAGAGCTTAAAAGCTCAAGATTCTGACTTTCCCCAACGATATGTTGAGGCTATGCGGGGGATTTTGTCTCTTTCTACCCGGCATGCTTTAAAAAAAACAAATGTGCACGCTTGTGCATGAAAAGTACGGGGATTGGAATTTAAACGCATTTGAGGCGACCAATAAGATAATGTTTGGTGAGTTTCAGATTATTAAAGGAGATGATGCACGGTGATGCAGCATTGCTGTTGTCAGTTTTCCATTTGATTGAGAATAATAGCCTGCAATGAATGATGGTTGCTATATCTTTTTACCATGCTGATTCTGTTTTGTATATATGAAAGCACATAAACTAAAATTTCCAATGAGCGGTGAAGGAAACTGCCAGTCTTAATGTCTACAATATATAAAAGTAAAATAAAATGCACCACCCTTCGTCGATCTACCGTTGGTTGAAGGCGTCCT